TACTTCAGACTTGGAGATAGATGACTTTTCATGTCTTTTTTTATCACTTCCTGTGAACTAGTTTTGAAATCATGGTTCTCAGTTGCAGGCTGTTACTAATTTCTTTGCCTGGTTCTACCTTGTCCCATTTACTGGAGAAGAAACACTGGCTATTAAGTTTAGTTCATGATTTTCAGTCTGGTACATTAAAAGCTAGTCTGTATCTAAACTGAGCATTACTGAGTTGCATTACAGGTATCATAGAAATGTTGGTTGGAAGGGGCCTATGGAGGTCTTGTAGACCAGCCTTCTGCTCAAAGACAGACTATCACCTACGTTAGGTGACATCAACGATGTCTCTCTCTAGCTAAGTGTCCAAGGTCTCCAGTGGTGAAGACTCAGCTGCCTCTTGGGGTAGCCTGGTGTGGTTCTGCTCTGTTTTTTTTTTTTTTTTTCTGGTGGAAAAGTTCTTCATGGTGCCAGATCAGCACTTCTCTCCTCCTCCCCAAGTGATCCAGGTCAGTGACTTGTCCACATCCTAACACAATTTTTTATGTCACATGTCCCCGGATTTAATTTCTACTTGAAACTTGGAATAAAGTAGTGGGGCGCTGGTGTACATCTAGGTTGCACCATGGCAGAACTCCACGATCCTGCATGAAAGCAGGCCTGAACCCAGATGCATCCATTTGGTCCATGCCTTTGTGAATGCCACTCATGTTTAAACTAGCTTTTCTTTTTTAAACGAGTACTGAAAAATTCTGCACAAAAGTAATTAATGCACTCTAAAAATGTGTTCTCCTTCACACTTTGGGTTACAGTTTATGGTAGTATAACAGGTTATGATTTCAGAAACGTACATATATTTAGTGAAAATTGCATATTTGAAGCACAGACATAAAAATAAGTAAATGCTTATGAGCCAGTTGCTAAATAGAAGTTGAACAGTGAGTTTGTCAACATGGGGGCTGGTATCCATATGGATCAATGAAATAAGTGCTATAGTTGTGACTTTCTATAATTATCGTGGAACTAAATGGTACAATAGGCAACTAGATACATACATATACCAAATTATTTTCAAAAGCATGTGGAGGACTTGCAAGGATCTCTTTCAGCTTGATTTGGGGTAGGACTAGTTACTGGGAACATGTACACTTAGAGTAGCTGACATACCTTCTGTGTCTGGGATTTGTTGAGAGGATGCAAGGCTGGTCTGTCGTCTTCACTGAAATCTAAACTCTCACATTTTTTGTTCCCATATCTTTTCCATTCTTTATGGAAAGAATTTCTTTATTCTTCATTCTTCGTAGCTATCCCATATCTGAAGAAGTCTCAGCTTTCCCCAGCCAAATCTGTTGCTTTTAACACCTTCACGAAAACATTAAAATAAGACTAAGGCACAGTGCATTTGTTGTCAGAACATCAAAATGCAAAACTGCCAATGCTGAGGCAAAAAGGGGCAGTTTTGTGAGGGAAGTCTCCAAATGTCATTCTAGCCCTTTGGTCCGCAGAGAGCACACGGGCTCTATTACCTATCTTTGAATTGAGGTGTGATGAAGCTTTGTTTCATTTCACTTCTGCTGACTTCTCTTTGAAAGAACTGACGTAAGTAGTTGAAATTCTAAACATCAAAGCCATTTATCATGTTAGAAATACTCATACATTTCTACTCAATCTGCCTAGATTTATCCGAGGGTGTTGGTTCTGCAGGCGTGTTTTTTTATTATTTATTTACTTGCTTCAACATCAAAAGGTCATTCAGGTCTTCAAAAAAGACTTGCCCAGGTTTAATGTTGGCTGTGGTGTGCATCTGGGTGCTGTGGATGCTATGGGTGTTCTGGCGTGGTCTGGGGGCACCATCAGTGGAGAAACCAGCGTTTGGATTTATGGTCTGGGAGCACATGCTAGCGTGTGTCCCTGGTAATGCTGGCAGGAGGGGAGAGGGGTTCTGTCACTGCTATGGAGTCCCAAGCACTTGTGTTTGAAATTAAATGGTATTTTATTATGTCTTGAGGTCGATAGGTAGCCATGGCTAATGGACAAGTAGTGACTCATGTTTTCATTATTTGTGTAGGTTTTAGCGTTTTATGTCTTCTCCAGTTTGACCTAAATTTTCACTCCACTTTTCGTAATCCAGGCTTTAGTAGCAAAGGCAGGATTACAAGACTTGTGTCCAAATAAATGGTTGCAGTTCCTTACCCAAATGTAGGATACAAAATCCTGCATACTACTGTTATTATCTATACATCCAGCACAGTCCTCATTCATGTACCACAAACATTCCCTTCTTTTATAAACCCAGGGCTTATTTGTCTGATAGCAAAATAGAAAAACAAACAACCACCACCAACAAAAAAACAATCACTTTTTGCAGAAACAGAAAATCCGGGATTTAAAACAAGTAAAAATCCCCACCAAGTTATTACCATTGTAATGAGGCAACCGGTGGTTCCAGAGGTCTTAACGTAATGGAAAACTAGATGTATATGTTTTCAGAAATGGAGTGATGTTTTATGGTTTGCTTGTCTACTGTTAGAAGAATGCGGAAGCCTGAATAAAAGGTAAAATTGTGTTTATCTGCATTTTTATGGAATTAAATTTGCTTATTCGTAGAAGTAGCTGGGTACAAGAGCTGCAGCACGCATTGATGCTCCATCGATTCTAAGCATTTCCCTTATTGCAAGCATTTGTGTAGGTTACTATGAATAAACATAAATACTGATTTGTACGTGTTGCCCTTCCACTGACACAGAGATATATTACCTTACTTTGGAAGTCTGTACACCCTTCTGCTTTGCATAGATGTCTAAGGGAGATGCGAGCCACCCTTCTTTGGAGAGGCAATTTAGAGGAGAGGAAAAGGTCTTTGTGCAATTTTACAATTTAGTCTGGACGTACGTAGGACAGAATTTGCTCCTGGAAGTTTTATTCTCTGCACTGTGAGGAATTGCACTTTCCTTTCTTAAAGTAAAGCAGAAAGTCCCTTTTTTTACTGTTAAACTTTTTTTTAAATGGGCAAAACCGTATTTTTAACCAGCTTCTGTAGTCTTGCTTTAAGCTGCTTCTTTGCTTATTCATTGCCTGCCCTCCAGACCTCACAATTTCTGCACCCTTTTCTTTGTCCTTTTTTTAATAAGGGATACTTCCAAAGAAGTATTACTTGACTTTTTATGCTAATCTCACTTCTATTTCAATTCATGTTGACTTGGATAATATGCCCTGTAAATAGGAATACCAACTGACATACTGAATATAATCCTCACTTTCTAAGCATTGATTGTTTTCACAGAATCCTTAAAGGGTAAGCTGTCTTACTATCCAAATATCATGGCTGGGAAACTGAGGCTAACAAAGGCTGTATGATTTATGTGAAGCCACACAGGGAATAAACGTTGGGTTTAGAGTTCCTGGCTTCTGTTCCTGTGTTTGGACTAGCGCCGTCTCTCCAAGAAATACTTGATTCCCCCTAATGTTACATCCCCGTATGTTAAATGTAGCCATTCAAAAAGTAGCTGATCCTCAATTTTCTCACTGTCTGTCCTATTGAAACTAATGGATGCCTACAGGCAGGCATAAGGTATCGTTACCTTTGACAGCCAGTATGTTTTATGTTTTAAATTAGGTGTTAGGCAGAATTTTTGGATACTAATTTGATATAATGAGATGCGCTTCTAATATCAACCCCGGTAAGTGAAGGCCTTGCAGCCAGCCTACTCTTTATTTAAAATTATTCCATTTCAGATGTCCTAATGAGTGCTGTGAGTTGTGTAATTCTCTTATAATTTTCCCACGTTCCCAGAAGGGAACTAGGGACTGGAGTTTTTTTTTTTCTTTTCTATTTTTGTTTTGGTTTATTTCAAATTAGGGTGAGCCCAGAATAAAGATCTAGGGGAAGAGTTTTTGTGAAACGCTTGCTATTTTGACAACAGCAATTAAATTTTTTTTTTTATAGTCTGCATATGTGAGTGTTAAGGCAAGACTCAATGCCTCTGCTGTTTGCCATTATCTTATAAATATCTTGACTCTGACTTTACAGTGCTGTTTATAGAATTTAATAAAGCAAATGTAATAATGCTGCCTGTGCTTTAATGCACAATCTCAATTGAGTTGACCAGAAGATAAATAGGAACAGGAATGATAGTGCATTCCTACAGATTGTTTTTAATAAGCATGTTATTTAGTTGATCAGCCCAGTGCCGTAATGCCTCCTATCCTGCTCTACCAGACAAATTTATTAATGCTTCTCCCACCCCCCGTTTTTCTGAGAACATTGATTCCCTGCAGACATATCTCTATTAAACCTCTAGAAAGTCACAACTTCCAAATTAGATTAAGTAGCAGGAATGGTACTAGAAGAATCAAAGAAAATTGAGTGCGTTATTGAATTCATGCCACATTGTCTCAGGAAGAGATGGGAGTTATGTGTAGTGGTAACTTTTGTCCTTACTGTACTAACAAAGCTGTGGGCATTGCTGTCAAACCTAATTGTCTGCTGCACATCAGGACAAAATGAATCTTTTCCCTTATCAAAACTCGTACCTAGAGAGGTTTTACAAATGAGAAATAGGTTGCAGAAGAAAGCCTTACAATTGATCAAAATCATTTGTCATTATTTGCTGCATACAACCCTACCCTGAAAACCTCGCTGGCAAAAAATTTTAAAAGCATCTGGCTTTGGATTGTAAGCAGACTTGCTTGTCATGCTAGCAGTCGCAAAATGCAGATATTCATTTTAAAGCTGCCTATTTCTCATTTTGATCTGACATATTAAAAAGCATATAATTAATGGTTGACATTAGTAATTAACATTAACTTTATGGTGCTTAATATGCCATCATTCATCCATCAAATAACTGGTATGCATAATGTCTTTGCATAAAGGTTTTAATTACACAAAATGATTCTCCAATTCTCAGGCTCTACAGTTTAAAGTAGTTGTAAATGCATTTCTAAAAAAAAAAAAAAAAATCAGAAATTTTCGTTTATTGAACGTAAACACTGTTTTTGTTTCTCCCTAGGAGCGTGCACGAACGGGTAAGCCAGGGACTTCAACCAGGGAACGCAGACCCAAACGCACAACTTCCATTAGTGGCTAAAGAGCACCACCTTGCTGTCGCCAGTGCTCTCTGGAGAAATTTCTTTCCCTATTTGAAGAGCCAAAGAATGTCACAGATGCCACCTTCCCCTCAGCTTGCTGATACAGCTGCAGGTTAGCATTGACCCTCCATGCTACTACTGGATTTGTTGCTGTATTCTGGGTCACAGACTTTCAAGGATTTTGTATTTGGGGATATTGCTGCTTACATGTAGTAACTCAAATATGCATAAATGCAAAAAAAAAAAAAAAAAAAAGATTCTGTGCTAAATATTTTGACAAGAAGAAATATTGTAGTGTTGAATTACTTGATAGAATACAAACAGAGAACTCCAAAGGGGTTTGAAGCTATGCAAGCCTGATTTCTTTTTCCTTCCTAGTCACAGATTATAATCAACATTGCAAATGTTATACAATATAAATGAGAATAATTTATTTCACTGTATCAAGAATTTGTATCTTTTTGTAGAAGCTTATTATAACTTTGTGTTGAACCATCTTTTCACAAGGGCTGTGATTCAATCAGGTTTTTATTTTTGTGTAATATTTTACATCTGAAGACAATTTTTAAAAGGTTGATTGCATGACTGTTAGCTTTTGCTGAACCTTTATGGTCATGGCATGGCATAAAACTATGTCATAATTCAGTTTAATTTTTCATTTTGCTTTGCGCTGAAGGGTCTTAATCTTGATGTGCAATATTCCATATGTGTGTGTACTCCCATGTGCAGCCAGACAATCAGCATGTCACTGAACAGAAGGAAATCCCATTTTGAGCTTTAATGTCAGTAGTTAGCATTGTATTCTGCAGTTGCAGTAGTCCTTTAAATTTTAGCTAAATTGATAGAAAAGTAAAGTATATATATATATTTTTTTTTCCCATCATGATGTGAATTAGATAAAGTTATAAGCACAGAAGCACTGAGTTGGTAATAGAAAACATGAAAAGATCCTTCATTTGAAGCAGCTCTACAGTAGTTAGTGACATTAATGAAGGAGGCAGTGTGCAACTGCAGTGGTCTCACACTGCTGAAGCATTTATGGAAAACAGCAATACAAATCAAAGGAAGAGGTTGTTAATGTCATAACTTTCATTCATTTCCTATGGTGTTACATCTTTTTATTTTATATTAACATTGTGGAATAGCAAGAAGAACAACCTATTATAAACTCTGCTTAAGAGAAGTGGAGTGCAGTTGTGACCTGCTTTATGTAGATGTGTTAGGCAGTACTACAGAGGAGAAGGCAAACCCTTCCTACGCGGTACGATCTTCTTGCCTTGGAGGTTGCAGCCCAGAGGAGAGAGCAGCTGTCACAGCTCTCCTGCTCCCCCTGCCAGGCAAAGAGCCTGGGTCTCACATTATCATTTCTGTCTCTGTTTTCTCCCTCACCCGTGTTACTGCTGGTGCTCCAGAAACAATGCAGTAATCTGGAAGAAGGCTGGCACAAATTGCTTCCTCACCTAAGGCAGAGTGGGGACTCTGTATGACCTCCTTTTTCATATTGAAGCACATGAGGAAATGTGAGGTCCATCATAGCTTAAGGTAGTCTGTCCCTACACCATTAATTAAAAGAGCTTCATTGCTGGTGTTCCTGAAAACTAGCCTTCTCTGTCTAATTCCAAGTGGGCTTCTCAATGCATGCAGTGTTATAAATCATTACCTTAATAAATTAATATTGATACTTAACTTGAATTGGACAATTTGGGAACCAGTGAGCCTGTTATTTTGGTCCCCTCTGAAGACAGTTTTCCTGACTCATTTGTTGCCACTCATTTCCTATAACATAATAACTGCTCAGCATTTCAGATTACATTACATTAAATGCATTTGTCATTTGTAGCATCAACGATTGTACTTTAGCTTTTATGCTAGCAGCGTTTTATATAGATTCTGCAGCAGACCTACCAGGAACAGCAAAAGGTTGTGCTTCCTTTAAAAAAAAAAAAAAACATATATATATATATATATATATATAAAAATATATATATATATATATATGCCAAGTAGTACTACCACCAGTTTCTAGATCTGCAGCTGTTATGTGAAGATCCTTTTTTCAAGAGTAAGCTTGTCTGTAGTGCTTTATTTACACAATAACCTCTGATACCTGAAAGTTTATTCTAAAAATAGAAAGATAGAAAGATACCAGCTTCCACTGAGCGCATCCTTTCCAAATACAGTTCTTCCCTGCAAGAGATGTGTAAAAACAAAGAAGTAGATAAATAAAACTCAATTCTGTAAAGCATAATAATACTTATGTGTACAAGGGAAGAAGTGGTGGATGGGGGCAATAAAGGGTGGCCAAGAAGGATTAAAAAAAAATATATCCCCTGTTTTGTATTTGGTTTGTCACATCAACTTAAAAACCCACAGAATCACAGAATGGCCGAGGTTGGAAGGGACCTCTGAAGATCATCTAATCCAAGCCCCTGCTGAGCAGGATCACCTAAGGCACATTGTGCAGGATGGCACCCAGGCAGGTTTTTAATATCTCCAGAGGAGACTCCACAATCTCTCTGGGCAACCTGTTCCAGTGCTCTGTCACTCTGACAGGAAAGAAGTGAACCCCTTGGCACAGAGACTCCATTTTGCCATGTATGCAAATGCTGTCTGTTAGAACAGTTGCCCAGTTTTAATTGAGATTTCTGTTACTTCCAGAAATGCACAGTAATAATTGCAATTAATTCTCAATGCTTTTTTGTGAAACAGGAATGTACAGAGAAAACATTAACATGGTATCATGTTTTTCTCTCTTTAAAATCAGGTTTTACGCTCTTAGCTTTGGATATACCCAGCAAAGCCCTATCAGATCTTCAGCCACAACCTGTTCTATCAATGATGCAGCTGTTTGGATGGGATGACATGGTATGGCCTCACCTGGTGTCAAGATATCTGAGTCATCTAATTCAAAACAGGTAAAAAAAAACAAAATAAACAAACAAAAAAAACCACCTGCAACCACATGTTCTCTGAAGTTCTTCCAGTACCTTCTCATTCCTTCTTCAGTCTTGGGAAAATGTTGCTTAAAATAGCAATGTTTCGTTAAGTTGGTCCAGGTTTTTTGCATCTGTTAAAGTTCAAGAAATCTAGAAAGCATAATTTCCTCTTTCATCATTCACACAGTGTAGTGGGTATTGTTTGTTTTTGTTGGATTGCTTGTTTATTTATTTTTATATACAAATAGCTTAGGACATTCAAAATTTGTCAGGAAGATAGGTAAGTATTTTGAAAAAGTTGCCTTTTTTATGGCAGACCACTTTCTTCCAAATGGAAACAGTGTTGTTATTAACACATTTTGGAATATGTGGACCTAGACAATGTCTATAGTGCAGTACTCTGGTGAAGAGCCATACTGTGACAAAGTGAAATGCCTGAACCCATAACCTATTTTTCATTTGCATAGTTATAGCTAACTATCTGTCCCCTTTTATTGTTGTTGCTGTTTGGCAGTTGTTAAGAGTTAGGCAAAGCATTAGTCTCCTATCCTAGCTGCACTTTAATTTGGTAAACTTAGTAAATTCTAAAATATTTTTTTAAAAGCACTGGTTTTATTTTTCTCATACCACTTACATTTAACAGAAAAACTTAAATCTTACTATAAAAAGTCAAGTTATACATTATTACAGAAATTTGAAGATACTATATGGCAAGTATTTAATGTTAAAATGTCTTGACATCTTCAAAATGAAGAAGTTCTACAGGAAGCTGAAGATGATGTGTTGGATAGTGTTGAAAGCATAAGGAAAATGAGTATAAGAAAATGCTTGCATTAAGGCTTTCTTATTGACAAGCTTGAAACACTTTCTGAACACATATTAATGTTCACGGAGCTCAGGTTTCTGAGACCTGTTAAATGGATGCTTTAAACTAAGTAATGGGATTAGAAAATGTCACATTCCTATGTTTTATATATACCGATGTTTAATTTTCACAAAATCACAGGACTGTTTAGGTTGGAAGGAACCTCTCAAGCTCAGATAGTCTAACTTGCCCAGTCCTCTGCTCAAGCAGTATCTGCTTGAGCAGATTGCCCAAGACTGTGTTCGGTCAGAATTTTATATACCTGAGAAAATTATTTCTCTTAATAGGCCTGTATAAACCCAAGATAGATGGTGTCGGGTAGTGGTTGTGGTGGTGTGTTCCCCCCACTTCTGAGCAGGGGAGGTGAGAGAGGGGAGAGGGAGTGTGTCTGTGTTGGGCTGTATTTGAAAGTGAAAAATGTTGCACGTTTTTTAGGGTACAAATTACACTAAGTAACATAGCTGTAAATCGTGGTAAAGGCTGTTTAAGTGTGATTGGTGAAGAAAAGCCTATGGCCTTTTTGAAGGGAAATATTAAAAGAAGCTGAAATTAGTTCCTCTTCAGTCACTTTGTAACTTAAGAGGTGGGCATTCACTCCTCTGATTTGCTGCCTTTCTCTTGTGTGATCATTGCAGGGTCAGTTTCAGACAAGGTTTCAGATATGTAGCATGTGCAGAATGAAATAGGAGTTAAGTGTGTAAATGCCCATTTATAATTTAAATTTGGTTGCTCTTCAGGTAAGATCAAGGAAAACACTTTCATGTCTAAACTGGAATTTTAGTATTATTTAGGTGCTTAAGGCTAATGAACAGCTCCCCCAGTAAACACTTCAGGGAAAGCAGTTCCTTAAGTATACACTAGCAATATTCACCTGACATACTGGTATATATGTATCCACGTATATATATACACACACAAACGTATAGATATATATATATATATAAATATATGATGTTTATTGTTTTTGTAACCATGGCCTGAGTATTCATGTTTCCAATTATTTGCACAGTTGCATTAGCAAATAGAGAACCTGCACATATGGCTAGCACTGAGTTCCCCCTACAGCACTGCTGCCGTAATTCCATCTAAAAATGCAGTTAGCATTGATGATATTTACCACGTGTCTACTAGTTGAACAGTTAGGGCATTTGTGAAAGACTTGGGAAGACCCTCATGAAGTGAGCCTTGCACTTCAAGGGGGTTCAGACTTTGATGTCAAAATGCCATCCTGGGAATGAGAGGCTCTTGCCATCCTCTTGCAGGCTGTGCCATGGAGTAACTGAAACTGTCAGGTTCATGGATGTGTATCAAGAGAACTAGAATGAGAAATTGTGACTCCATAGTTCAGTGATGATGGATATTTGTCTTTTGCTGTCGTGTGTATATTCATAGTCTTTTGGGTTCTTTTTCATATGCTCTCATTCTTTCTCACTCTCATTTTTTCTTTCTGAGTCTCTCTTGCTCGCTCCTTTCCCAAAAGCTCCTCTTGGGAGCAGGGGACATATTTGCCTCTCTGTGAGAGTGCTTTATTTTTGCCCCTAAGCTATCGGGGCTGTGATTGTCAGGCCTCAAGGAGAATTGTCTGTTTCCCCTATCAGTTGCCTCAAGGCCTATCAAGGTAAAAACTGAAGTATGTGAGCCTCGAACATATGTCCCTGCTTCATCAACAGAGCTGTCAGGTGCTCAGACTGCCTTATGAAAGGGCGATGAGTACTAAGAAAAGACTTTGAGAGAATTATACAGATGTATCGTTCTCTAAACATTGTCATTTTACTATATGCTAATAAGACAACTTTTTTTTTGTGTGTAATATAATTCATGTCCTTATTTACCTTAGGCAGTTGTAGAACAAAAGTTATCAAAGTATCTAAGTGCTGGGATCATAAGGCTTCATGGTTACTGTGCTGTGATAATTTTCACATCAAACATTCTCAGTTATAAAGTGAAAGGATTATTGTGTTGCTGATGCTGTTACACCCTGCAAGGGCAGCCTGGTCTCTTTAGGATTGAAGCTGGGTCCTGCATATCAGCTACTTCAGTGCTGGTAACAAAAGTTTTGCTGGACAAGCTGTGGCCCTTGGGAACATGTGCACGAGCTCTGGTATTTGTTTTTTTTTTTACAGTAGTGCTTGAAGTCCATCTCCCAGTCAGTGTTGTGTAGTACATGATAGTATTATAACTGGTTTAAGCATCTTAAAGCATGTGAATGAGCTCATTGGTTTAAAAGGACTATTTGCCATGCTTGCAGCAGGTAGTTACTGCTCTTTCCTTTCTGAAGGAGTAGGAACACATTCCTCTACAGTTTTAGGAAGATGCCTAAGTGGCCTACCTACAAACAAGAGAAACATGAGCGAGAGCACAACAGAAAGTGTGTTTGTAAGCCTTTGGGTCCATGGAGACTACCTGTGTACATCACGATTACATAAGGGTTGGATTTTGTTGTTGTTGTTTATACATTACTGCAAAGAGCACAAGTCCGTAGGTAGTCTGTAGTCTTGTTTTGTTGTGTTTGTGTTTTGTTTTTTTTTTTTTTGGTTGTTTGTTTGGCACTGGAATTTAATTTTCATATTTTTGTTTTGTTTGCATTTGGTCTCCTTGTTTTGTCAGTAGCACTTCAGCAGGGATGTTCATACAAAATGTACAGTTGTCCTTGTCTTTAAGTGAAAAAGAAATATAAACCACAGTAAAACAAACAAAAACCCCTTTATTAATGGTGTTGAGTGAGAAGCAGAATCCAGTTTGGCTACCACAGGTCTATGTGGACCTTTGTTGACTCTGTTGCGAGCATGAGTAAAAATTCAGTGGAAAATAAGTAGATTTATATGTACATATATCAAGAAAAGAGTACAAGGATTTTTCATTAAAGTCAAAGCACCTAGGACTGACTAGGGAGGAAATCTCTCAAATAAAAAGGTCTAACTATTTTCAAGAAATCTCACTGACCTGAAGCACAGGAGGAGCTCATCCGCTAGGAATTGCAAACAGGGTGCAGAACAGACCTGCTGGCTGTTAGGAAGGAGTTTCTGCAGAATTAATGATGTGGGGCTGATGTGCTTGGGAAAAAGTGACTGCAGCAGCTACTTGTGGTGGTGAGGCGAGTAAAACTTGGGCAGTGCTGAACAGTTGAGCAGCGTGGTTGTGCATTGAGTGTTGATGGTGCTGTTGTTTCCAGCCTGACCCCTGGCTGGGTGTTCAACTGAGAGCACATACAGCGAGTTTGCTGTGTGTGTGAATGTATATACCTGTGTGTATACACGTACATAAATGCATACATATAGGCATTTTTAAGTATATATCAAATTTAGCAGTTTCCTTTCACATCTCCAGGCTGTCTTTTTATCTTTTCATTTTTTTAAACTATCAAGACACGTCTTTATTTGCTAAAGCAGACTTTCTCCTTCTCTTTATGTAGTTAGAATAAAGTAGACTTAGGGGTACCTGAGCTAGCTTCATATGAAAGGCTGGGGAAGCTTAAGCAGCATCAATATGAAGCTCCAGGTTGATTCAGGTAAACTGTTCTCAACGTTGTATGTCAGCGGTTTGGATAGCACTGTCAAATTATCCATTGAGAGAATAAGACATTCTCCGCTGTGTGAATATTTTTCTCTTTCTGTTTTGTTTTATGCAGAGAAAACAAACATATGAAAGCATTCGTTTATATGCTTTTATGTTACTATGTGTGGCATTACAGAATTTATCATTTTATCGGTATTTAGGCATCAGGATACTGTGAGCAAAATCTGTGGAGTACACAGAAGGAATGCTGATTTGCCTTTTCTATTACTTTATTTCTAATTGCTTATATGCAGTTTCGATATATCCAGAGCCAAATGAAACACTCTGTCACCTTTTCACATGCTTCTATTAGATCTCTTTACCTTTTATTCCTCTTCTACCTATGCAGGGAGCTGTGTGAAGCTTTTTCTAAGATGGGCTATACATCCTACGAAGCTCTGACAGTACGTTCTTGGTTTCGATGTGTTTTCCAAATGTTCATAGATCAACCGACTGGTATGCTGGCCAAGACAGATGCTGAGCGAACAGTTGGTAAGTGTTCACATTTCCCTAATGTTTGCAGTAACGATTCTATATTGCAAAACTGGCAAACATTTTCAGCTAATTACAAAATGTATTTTTGTTTGTATTCCTTTACTTTTACCTAATTACAAAATGTGTTTCTTTACGCTGTTTGTGCTATTTATTGATGGTTTGCCTGCTCTGCATATGACAAATTTATCACAAACAAAGATAAAAGAGCTTGTTTCCTTGGAAGCAAAGAACAAAAACTTGCTCCCAAGGAGACAAGCTATTTTTCCCCCATGGAGAAACTGTTCTGAAAAAAGTGAAAATCTGAAGTAAATAGTCAGAAATCATGCTGTGAACCCCCTAAAAGAAAAAAAAAAATCCATTTTCAAGTAATTTTTCCCTGGTTTATATTGAATATTTTGCTGTCTTAGAGCAGTATTTCATCACTTTTTCTACAAAACTCTGCAGTTGTAATTATCTGTAGAATACATCTTCTAGCAACTATACCTTTATGCACATTTTGCAGATTTCTAAGAAAACCATCAGGAAAATGAAAGACTTGGTTGTCTATCTTTAATATTCTTCATTCTTGTGTATCCATTTTAGAAACATAACTAGTCTAGTCACACATTCTTTGTCTAGAAGGATGCTGTCAGTTGCAGAATCTGTATGTTAGATATTTCAAAATCACGTTTCACCTTATGATTTTGTGACTAAAGTAAATAGAAAAGCATAACTGTGTGCTGTATTTCTATTCTCTTCTAACCATCAGGGAAAGCCTATAAGGAACAGCTAACTGAAATGACAAGACTGATTTTTAAACTCTCAGAAGTAGAAAACATTCTCTCAAAGGCTCATGTTGAAGAATCAGTTCCGAAGCAAGACCCTAAAAATGCTCTTGTCCAATTCATTAAGGTACTGTACATCTTTGTGTTAGCTCATAGGAGAATTATTTTTTTTTTTGAGTGAAAAGAAATTATGTATTAGATTTTTTGTACATGCAAAATTACCCAAACCTAATGAAAGACTTAGTAAGTTTATTTATTTCAATCTTTTTGTTTTCTCAGGCTGTTGGTAGAACATACAGTGGCCTTCAGACACTCCCTGAGAAATCTGCTATGATACTAAAGTCTATGGAGTATTTAGGTGATGTATTAAAGTATGTAAAACCTTACCTGAAGGCAAAAGGACCTCCAGAAGGTTTGCAGCTTACTTACTGGATCATAGGTAATTATTTTGCAACCTCTTCTCTGTTAGGAAATAGTTGTATAAGGAATCAGTAAAATGTGACTTAATACTTCTGTTTTCTGTACTGTCCATCTTAATGGTTTAAAAAAGCAAAGTTTTGAATGTGTTACAGTTAAATATGTATTTTTCATCCTTTTTTTTTTTTTATCCTGGTGCTATGAATTCTAACCTTCTTGTGACTTTTTTAAAATTATCTCTGCAAATCAGTGTTTCCAAAAGCAAGATATTTTCACGTCTTTTGCCACTGAAAATCACTTGTTTTATCTGAACAAAACCAGAAACAATGACAAGTCTGTGAAGCAGTTTTATGATGCTACGTCATATTTACTGGAGTTATGATAACAGAAAGTCTGCTTAAGCAAATTAGCAATGTAATATGAATCCTTTTAGAATTACTCCTCTTATATACAATTTGTGCTTTATTAAAACTCAAATTCTACCATTCTTCCAATAAAATGAAGAAACGATAGGATGGGAAAATGAGTGCTGTTTGTTATGAGTAAATATGTCACAGTCTGATTCACTTATCTTTAAAAACGCAGTAAGCCTTATGTATCTTAAAGACAGAGATCATGATTTACATGCACACACAATATACATCATGATTGTGAGGAGTACAGTGAAAAGCATGACCACCATGCAAAAGCACGCATCAAATACAATTAGATTTGAATTCTGTTAAAAATACTGTACTTTTCTATTGCAAGATCTGCATATTTTGATGTACATGATGTCTGTCAAATGAAGTGTTTTTAGATATCCAGTTGTTGGGGTGGAGCCTTGCAAAGTAATTTTAGATTGGTATTTTCCTTTCTGTTCTTTGCAGTAGGAAATGATTCATCTTCAACCATGCTGTTGTGTGCAAGAAACTGTCCTTTTTTACATAAAAAATAAGTTTAAAAAAGACTTTAAGATATTTAAGTGTATTTCAGTCTCTTCTTCATATTCTGTGAGTTTGTTAAATTATAAGGACAAAGCCAGATTCATAACAAATCTGAAAAGCCTGCTGTTTGTGGACACTGTACATGTCAGATTGTGTCTTCTACTATCCCATACATCACAGCAGTGATAATAGAAGGAGTACTTTTAGTCAGAATAATCATGTTTCTTTCAAAAGAGGAAGCTCAGACAACATTATTAGAAGTATTGTTTAGTGATCATTCTCTTTCTCTATGATTGATTGTTGTGTTTTCTTTCACTCTGCAAGATTAATGTTGTTTTTCGTTGCTTTTAGAGATGGTAATGGATGACTTTTATAGATTAATAATATCTTGTAACAGCCTGCTTTTGATCTCTCATTATTTTTGAAGTCTTAAACATATCTTCATGGGGTCTTCCTGTAGTTTCCACCCAGCAATTTTTTTTTTCTTCTAATTAAATATAAACTTAAAAAAGTTTGTGAAAACTACTACTTAGGAATCTGCTTAATTAGACACCTTATTTTACGACATATGTATTTTGAGTATTAACACAAGTTATTTTCTCAAGAAAAATTGCATCTCACCTGTAATAGGATGTTTCTCAAAGTCAGGGTATTTCCACATCAACACTTTTTTACCTTTTTTTTTTTTTTAACTCAAAACAAGTTCTTAAAACTGTCTCATGGCTGTGCAAGTGATATGATAACATATAGAAAACAAGTAAGGTGTTCTCTGAGGCTCTTGTTTTGTGGACTGAGAGCCCACAGATATCTGGAGAGACATTTCTAGTTTAATACAGTCAGCTGCTCCTCATCCTTTTCAGTCTGCCAAATTAAATACATTAAACACAATTTGAAAGCTATTTAATGTTTTCCTGCATGGAATGTGTGTGTGAGTAGTTGCTGAGGTGGCCACAGCGTTGTTAGAAATATGAGTGGAAGGCAAAGGCACTGCCTCTTTGTATGATGAGATCAATGCACACAGTAGGGTCAACGTGTGCTGACTGCAGTAGCGTTACATACCAAGGTTAGTTAATTTTTCTGCTGGGCTGTAAGAGAATGCCCTTTCTTAAGCTTTACTGTACTTTTCCTAAAAATGCTTCACTTGTGTTGAAGCCTGTAATATATTGAAACAATCTGGTACTTTTACTTGGCCGAATTGTAAATAGACTTAAAATTTTCTTGGGGCTGTTTCTAAGGGAATGAGACAGTTGCTGTTGTTACTCTTGGATTATCTACTCAACACGTTTCCTCTTTAGGCTTTTGTTGTTGTTGTTTTGGGATTGTACATTGCTTTGGGATTTCTTGGTTCTTTTTCAACAGGATGTCTTGTAAAGAACTGGGCAGCAATACTGGCCACTTCCAAAGCACAGCAACTCCTGTTCCGCATCATAGATTGCTTGCTGCTGCCCCACTCTGTGCTCCAGCAGGACAAAGAGCTGCCTGCAGCTTTGCTGTCTGCCATTCAGGAAAGCCTACCTCTTTATCTTCAGGTAAATATCTGAACTCTATTACCAGCAAACATAGCTTTAGGAAGAGATTCATACAGCAGAGGAGGTGTTGTTTTGTTTTGTTTTTTCCCCTAATCAAAACAAGCATTGACAGAATATAAAGAAGCAGCAAGAGGAGATTTTTCTTCTTGTGGAAGTGGAAGGAAAAATGCCACCCCATTGGCTTTCCTCTTATTGCATGCAGCTACGCTGTGCTACCTTCCTGAGTTGCCAGTCTGCTTGCTGTATATAGAGAGGCTCTTAGCCAGCCTGCTGTTTGCACTGTCTCTGATGTAAGAGATTTCTGAAACAGCGGATGAAATAATCATAATATGTAGCGAGACACTTGTTGAGATGACAGAGCAAACAAATGTTTTAAATCATCCTTGACTTTGCTAACTCTAGATAATTAAAGATGAGCCATTCTGCGTAGTTTGTGTTGCTCTTAGTAACAAAAGACAAGCCTCTGCATATCATGGCACTGTTTTATCTTAATAGTTTGAGGATGTTTTGCTGAATCAAATGCTTTTCCTACTGTTTATGCTTACATGTGTAAAGCCTAGTGTCATGTTACTCGTCTCATTCTCCCCTCAGCTTACCTATCACTCTTGAAACTCTGCAAGGCTTGGTGAAGCTGTAGAGAGAGATTAGTTCCTATGGGTGAGGAAAATGTTGTATTTTTAAAATAAATAAGTTGGTTTATTTTACCTTGTAAATCCTTGCAACTTTTTTGCTTGTTTTTTCCCTTCACTCTTAAAATTCATTTTGCTTGCCATTTTTTACTGATTACATACCACATCATATTGTGAAATAATACAGTGGTGACATTGTAAACATCCCTTGGATTTATTCCTTTTTTCAAAAGTTGCATTGTGATTGATGGCCTGTCATATGGAAATGAATATGATTATATAATGATGTGCAGAATATGACTTGCTTTGCTGCTCTGTAGGTATTTTCAGAAGCTATATACATGTAGGACCATCTGGACACTGATATTACTACAGAGTGTGACTGTCTGCTTGCTAATTTAGTATTTTAGTCAGAGAGCACTCTTTCTCTGTAGTCTGCACATACGGATGTAGTTTTAAGATAAAGCCACTCAAGTTGGTTCTGAAGTCCTAGTGTTGTGGACCTTTGTGTCCTGTTTTCTCTGCCAGTCTCTGACTTTCTGACCTCACTGTGGGACTCTTCAGCAATCTGCTGCTTAGTCCGTGTGCTTTCAGGCTAAGCTAGATGATCTTGGTGACTCAGTAGTTTATTTTACATAATGGCGTTTCTAGAAAACTAGCAATTTTTTAATTTGATAAAGACTTGGGGAAAGAAGACAAAGAGGAGAAACCTATTTCAATATAGAACTTTTACATTTTATTATTTGTTCGTACTTACACAGTTCCAGCATTTTAAAATGCTACAGACCTCTTCATTAATTCAGAAATATTTCCTTCCCCTTTGTTTGGGAAAGTGGAAAAATGCCCACTTAGAGCCAACTCAAAATGGAAAATATTTCAGTATCAGTTCCAAAACTGATTTTCTTAGGGCTGCTTCTGAGCTCCTTTGAGATCAAATGGATGCTGGGGACTCTGACTTCTCAAGTAATCGTTTCACAGTTGGCTTAAGCCAAGTTGGCTTGAGGGTGAATTCCTTCCCTTTCACCCCATGTGCATTCCCATTTAATTTGCTTAATGATTTTGCTAAATGTGTGAGCTGATGCAACTGGTAACTAGCCTCAAATAAATAAATAAATAAATAAATAAATAAATAAATAAATAAGGAAAGTCAGAAAAGTGATAAAATAATATATATGGAAGGGAAAGCATGTAACTACAGTAGGAGAAAAGACAGAGAAACTGTATGCTCTGGGAGTAACTCAATCTTGAATAACTTAACTGGTGAATAAGTAATCAGCCTCTCCTTAGGAGGCTGCCCTATGTCTGGTGTCCATTCACGGGGGTGGAACAGTGATATTGTATTGCAGGAGCCCTAGTTCTCCCTAATGATAAACAAACAATGTTTCTGTCCCTGTTAATACTGTAGCTTACAGCATAATCCTTGGCCAGTTACATGGAAATAAAGAAACAGGAGTTTGGAGACCATACAGAATAACTTCTTATACATGCAAATTCTTTATACATCATCAAAGCATAAAAGCTTTTATGTAGCATTGCTAATCAGAGTTGTCATCATCATCGTGTCCATCCGTCCCCCCCCCCCAGTCTTCTGAAAAGTTTAAGGTTCCATTTCAATCTTTTCTTCTTGTCCTGAATTCTCCCTCTTCGGCACCTTTAGTGTGGGCTCTGCCTCTTTTGTTGGGAGAAAACAAAACAAAACAAAACAAATAAAATAAAATAAAAACACAAAACAAAACAATTCAGATCTTGGAAAATGTATCAGTTTGCAAACAGTGATACTTCCAAAAGTTTTCAATAACTAGTCTTACGGTGATTTACTTGATCCTTTTATGTAGATTTTGAAAAGGTTTTGAAATCAGTCTTTGTAGCAGGTAGTTAATTTCAGATATTCATTGATGCAATGGTTTTATGAAATGCTTTAGAATTTTGGAACTGAATACAAATAAGTAAAATTCCCCAAAACATCACATACCCCGTGTAATGGTAATGCAACTGGCCAAACAACTTGGAATGCAGGATTAAAAGCAAGGACAATGTTGTCACTAAGAAAGACCATCACCTTTGTTTATCACTCTGTAATGGCAGAGGCCAATTTTGTATCTTTTAGGATAAAATATTAAGCTCCACTTTATTTCCTGGGACCTTAAGCTCTTGGGACCCAGGAGTTGAACTTGATGATCCTTGTGGGTCCCTTCCAACTCGGATATTCTGATGCCATGATCAGCACAGTTGGAATGGTTTATTACTACCATCAGCATTCATCAAAACTGACTGTGTCCTACCCTCTGTCACTCCCTCCCATAAAATCCTGCAGTTTTATTTTTATTCAAATTTACAGTCTTTGTGTAATTTTACACAAGCACAAATTGTCAAGTGCACTAATTAAGACTTGACATTGTGTCTCTCTCTCCTCAGTTCAGACTGACTGTATTTAGTTGTGTTTGTGTTTCCTGCATGTATAAATTCGGGCTGTACGGCTGCGCTTTTGGTAGTTACTGTGCCACTGGCTTACTAGCCTGTTCTCCACTAGACTTTGAACTTACCAGGAAGTTTCCTTCAAACTTTCTCACTGATGCTTTGCAACTCTTAAACTGGTATTTTTTTCTTGCCCAAAGATTTACTTACCATATGGACATTATTTCTTTCATGTGCATCATCTATTTGGATAATGTTTGATGACCTAGGAAAGATTTTCACAGAATCATAGGATGGTTTGGGTTGGAAGGGACCTTAAAGATCACCTAGTTCCAACCCTTTGCTATGGGCAGGAACACCTTCCACTAGGCCAGGTTGGATTATAATATCAAAGCTGTCTTTGTAGTTGTTTGAATGGCAAATTTCATGAAGAACAAGAATGAACAACCTTTTTATAATTTTATGGAGCTGTTTATAATTTTGTGATAATGATGTGTGTAAAATCTAACATTTGGTATTTGTCTTTGTTTAAAACAAATAAAAAGTAGCTGATTTCCGTGATAGCAGATTGTTGAAACCTACTACAAGAAATTTCCAACCAGTTGAGATTGCTCTATGATTTCTTGGAGAATGGTTTGGGGGAAATTTGATAGATGTTTACCAGTAATACAGGAAAGAAGTGAAGCAGTGTACAGAACTTCAGTGAATAAATGGTAGTTTAAATACATCTTGAAGACTACGATGCGGTGCATGGAATAAGCATAATGTATATAATAATGGGGTAGATGAGATACACTGCTTGATATATCAATGTTTATCCTGTCAAAATACATAAAATGGTTTATTTCTATCTAAATACAGGAGAGTGGTGAAAGGTCTTCATTTTAAGGAGTGCTTGGCACATACATTTTCCAGTAATTTTAATGGGCCTGTGCAGGCTCAGCATTTGTCAGAGATCAGACCTTAAAAGCCCTGCTGCAAGACACATCTGTGGTCCAGTATTTGAGCAAGCTTATTAATACGTTTTGTGAATTATAGTATGTGTTTAATAGGAATTGTACAACATTAATTGGTGAGCAGCAGATTTATTCCAACAGCAGGACTGATATTATAAGTCATCATTAGGTAGCTTGGCATTTCTGCAGTGAATAGTTCCAGTAATCCATATTAATCGGTTCTTCGCTCTCCACAGGTGATTTACAGATATATGGATAAATCAGAAGAGAGGCAGCTCTGGCCACAAAAGGTTCCTGCAGTGAACACGCACGGGAACCGGTTGCCTTTCTGTTAAAAAGAGGAACAGATGTTGTCCTGCTCTGCTCCTCTTAAAATGTCTTTGTTTTTTGGTGTTTTTTTTTTTTTTTAATATTTTTTTAACCTCAGTAGATGGCTAAAGAACACAGTTAATAATAATAATAATAAAAGGCAGTGCTCTCAACTCTTTAATGTCCATCTGCTTTGTAGGGATTGTCCTAGGAGTCTGATGTGATTGATTTCAGATCTCTGGTCCAGGATCTCAGTCCAGTAGCATGTGTTTCTTTTCTCTGTCAGAAGGAAGCTACTGTTCACAGCTTCCTTCATCTCTGTTAATTACTGGTAGGATGTAAAAGAAGAAAGTACTATGTGATTTCCTTGTAATCATGTCCTTGGCCAGCGCTGCCTAGGGTATTTGCCGTTGTACTTGGAGGTTTGCATCTACAGTGCAATGTTAGTAATTTATCCCTTGTGCTACTTGGAATATGACGTCCAGCTTTGTACAGGTCTGTTTTCCACACTTTGAAAGAAAAAGGAGGGCCCCAAAATAAAGAACACGCTGAGCTAAGTCAGTGGGCCTTCGTGTCCAAAAGAGAAAACCAAGTTCACCTCCAGAAATTTTGGGGGAACTACAGAAGTGTTGGTGCATAAAAGTCTGATTCTTGCCTGAAGAGCTTTGATACAGTAGGTGTTCCCTTCATGTGTAGAGACTGATTCATGGATTTGTTTAGCTTATAGAAGTCTTTTTGTTTAGTTTGGTTTGTGAGTGTTTTTCTGGCTACCTGCAAAATGGAAGGTGATTTTTCTTTGCTGTTCCCAGCTGGAAAAAAGAGTTAGTATCTTGGAAGCCTTTAGTGCTGAACTTGTAAACTCCTTTCTGAAGTAAGAAAAAAAGATGAAGATCCTCCTTACTGAGAAGAGATTTTGGTATTGCAGTGTGGTTTTAAAAATTAAGCTTTTTTTGAGAGGCACCATCTCTGCCTGACCCACCAAAAATGAACCTACAGAACAAATAGGTTTTCTGTGTTTTTAAACACTACTTAAGTTAACAGTTCTCCTTATTAGGCATCAAGGGCACTCTTTATCTTCATCAGATAACTGATGAAGAAGTATCTTTCATGACTTCTGTCCTTCCCCACCCCAGCAAACAAGACTTCTCTCTCAAAACATTTAGATGTAGAGTTTAGTGATATGGTTTAGTGGAGGACTGGCTAGTGTTTGGTCAGAGGTTGGACTAGGTGATCTTGGAGGTCTCTTCCAACCTAGATGATTCTGTGATTCTGTGATAATGGCATTCATCCCAAAGGCCAGCGGCAATCTTTACTTTACACAGAATCCTTGATCAGTAATGCGTGTGACAGGGTGTTGTTTTTAAATTTAATCCTTTCCTACTTTTCCAGATTACTTCTGTAAACATTCCACACCTAAAAATTCAGAATCAGTTTGCTTCAACTTAAAAATGGAAGTGCTCTTATGAATGGTCAGGCTAGACTTGATCCATCTTCAAGTGAAACTGCTATGGGAGTTGATTCAGAGATTTCACTTCTAATATTTCTTGTTTGTATTCCACCTGTCAACTATCTTTAAGTTCATTTCTTAAGAATAGCAACTTACATGTATTTAATAACTGATTTCACCCCTCTTTTCTTGATACTATGTGACGTTTGTTGCTCCTCAATTTGAAGACTTGTCTCATTTTAGTGATTACCATTATTAGTTCTCCACAAGTGTTATGTTCTTTGATGTATTCTTACAGGTATTCTCTGTAAGGTTATGTTGTTCTTTTGTGACCCTTTTATCAGCTAGATTAATACACCTTCTCATATGTTTTTTGTCATGTTGAAATAGTCTAGAGACTTAAAGAATGCCAGCTCTAGTTATGGGATTATGGAATATTTTTCTTTTTGTGCTGGAGAAAGGACAGCTCTATAGAGGCAACTCTTCTATATGCTTGCTGCAATGTCTAATTGAGAACATCAAACGCTCAAGCTTACAAAGTAGATGATCTGTAGCAGTCTTTCTGAGCCTTCTACTTGCCAAGCAGTGTGTTTTTAAAAATTCTGATATAGCAGCAGCTGCCTTTTACTACGAAATTTTGCTGTATGTACACAAAACACTGAGACAGTCTGAATTGCTTATCAAAGTCCTGGTTCAGGCAATGTGGCTTCTATCCCTGGGACACACCACAATTCCCAGGGAGCTCCAGAGGCACATGAACTTCAACCCCTGACAAACGTGTCTGTGTTCAGGAGGGATGCCTACAGTAAATCTTGAGGCAGGCCTTGAAGTGCCTCATTTCTTGAAATCCCATCTTCCTTGTATTTGCATACTATGGAACCTAAATCTGGAACTCCTCATTTCACAAAAGTGCCAAAAAGACTCTCAGTGATGTCTCAGCATGTTTGTTTGTTTGTTTTTCTGAAAGAATTGTTTTGTTATGTTCATGTGGACAGCTATAGACCAAAATCTTTTTGGGAAGAAGCTCCTCTGCAAAAAGCAACGGGAAATGCTCATTGTCAGTAGCTCAGGAACAAAAGCAGCTTTCAAGTATCTCTGAATTTTCTACCTTAATGTATGAATGAATAGTTCAAGACTCTTAGGGACATTAGCTTGCCTCAATAACTGTCAATGTTCAGGCAGATATCCTACCAAAAGTGGAGTCTGGATTGCAAACATATGGACTGCAGTGCTAATGGAAGCTTGAAGTACTGTTGAAGTTGCTGTCTAGGGATCTCTGTGCTTGAACTTCTTTTATGTCATTGTTCCTGTTGGACAAAACTATTGTGAAAACTGCATTCTGAAGAGACTTCTACTTGTACTCCTTACTGTGACCCTTGTGATAGGAGACAATTGGGCTTTTTTTTCCCTTAGTGATTCATTCTTCTTCCTTTCAGTAACCAAAAGAATGGGAAGTGAATTCTTAACTTTATCTCACATAAACTTTTACAAATAAGAAAGATATTCCCTTCCCACAGGTGAAACTTGTATGTTTTATAACTATGGGTAGTGTTCACATAGAAACTTGCCTAGACAACACCTACTTTCGTTATAGATCTTTCTCTGGCATCAATATAGCTTATATTGGATAAGTCACACCAGTTTTAGCCTTATTGTAAACAGATTTAAAAAAAAATCTTTAAATCCCTTACAAATGGTGTCTAATTTACTCTAACTTGTTCGTGCTATCAGCAAATTTTTTTTCTTGTCAGACTGCTATTCCTATCTTCATTAGACCACACATGTAGTTGAAAAAGAAATGAGGAGCTTTGGGGCACAAAAAGCCTTTCTCAGGTCTGAAATGCCAAGGTTTTCTTTCAGATTTGAAAGGAAGATTGTATGCCCCAAAGATCATCTTCCAAGTATATTAGTTCATCCAGTAGGAAGACTTCTTCTCCTTTGTAAGCCATGACTTGACATTTTATCCATAGACTGTCATAGGTGTAGCAAGTTGTTGATATTTACTTGTCATGCGGTAGGTTACCTGTACAGTAGTAATTTACATGCAGTGTATAAGGAGTTATTTACCTTTCTGTTGTTGAACTTACTCAGTAGTAGTTAGACTTACTCAATTTCTTTCTCTTTCTTTCACAGGGCCTATCCTTTATATGTTGCCAGACCCAAACTCAGGGGGCCTATTTAAATCAACTGCTTGGGAGCATTATTCAGCATTATTTTGGACGATTTCTCCCTTCTTCACCAACTGCACTTGGAGTTGGACAGCATCCTTTGCTGACTGCTTTATGCAGCTCCATTACAGTCCCCCAGATGCTCCGTCTACGGAAGACCACTCTGCATGTCATAAAGTAAGGCCCAGTGAAGAACAAAACATCACTTACTCAGATTTCACAAACAGCTAATGAGAAAGGGAATGTCACTGTTGTTTTCTCATAATCATAATGTTGTTTTCTCATTTCTCATAACTGATAGTTATGCTGGGTAGGGAGCCAAGGAAGGGCAAAGCATATAGAGCAGGAAGGTAAAACTGAGATTTGGAAACCAGTGAGAGAGTCACTGAGGATGGAGGTCCTAGACTATAATAAAAAATATCTCATATGGCCACATGAAAAGCAAGCATGTTTCCTAAAACATCGCACTCCAATATACCTCATCATATGGTTGTATCTCGGGCTGTATCTAGGGTCACAGAGTCAGTTGTCACAGCTGCCTGTGCATGGGAGGATGAGGTGCTCTTGCGAGTGTCAGAATATACATAGATGTGCCAGCTACCCAGGGGAAGTAAAGATTTTGGGGTGTGGGAAAACAGAGATGTAAAGATACAGTCTGCATTTTTTTCTTCATGTTGGGAGAAAAATTACTCCCCCCTCAAATATAAGATGATTGCCTATATCTGAGGTAAATTTATTTTTCTTTGTTAAAGAGTGTGTGTACACGTTGATTAAAAGAATATCGGTGTTGAATGTAGGTAAATATGGTAGGCAATGTTGTAAGTAAAGCCTATATTATCACGTATTAAGGGAGTGAATTAAGATTTCACAGTCTTCTGACATTTTTTATGAACTTATGAATACTCAAACTTTGTCATCTTAATAAAGTTATTTGTGAATGTGTGCATGCATGTGTGAATTTTAAGCTTGATAGTGGAAGGAAAGTTCTGAAAGTGTAATGGCACTTGGTGACTTGTAAGACATGAAACATTTCTTAGCTATCTGGGAAGAATATCTTAGAACGGAACAGCAGCCTGATTTATAAACTGTTGGGTGGTCAGGAGACAGTCACTAGGTCCACAGATAAATACATTCAAAGTTCATTGGCCTTTTTACCATACAAAAGTTAACAAATATCTTGCTGCTGCACAGAGAAAATTGAACCAGAGTGTATTATCTAGGTCAGAGAATCATTTGAGTGGAAGCATATGCTACCCACCCCCAAAAAATAGTCGGCAATTCCCATAGTAAGTTAATGGGATAGGAGATTTCAGAGATACTAACGGAAGACCACATGATGCAAAGGATATAGAAGTGTTACAATTTTTATTTTGTAAGTTATGTCAATGTGCATTCAAATATTCAGATCTTTTAAAGTCAGTTTTATTTGAAAGTGTAAATTTGTATGTGTGCCTTATAAAATTTTTTAACAAGGATAACAGTTTTTAATTGATGCGTTGCTCAGCAGACAAATTTGCTAGTTTGGGTAGCTAAGGGTAATTACTATTAAATATCTAAACAGTTATTTTGAAGGTTCTGGGAGTGCTCTTGTTAACTGATGAAGAAATGTTGTGTTCTATTTACCTGCACCCTTCTCTCCTGGATGTTCCAAAGTAACAGTCATTGTCTTCAGTTTTCAGCAAAGTTGTTTGTAATGTCAAATCAACAGTTGTTCAATCTTGCATCACTTTTTTTTGGAAAAATATATTTTTTTAAAAAAAGTAAAAATTAAAAAAGTAATTAAAATTGGGACAGCCAATGTCAGCAATGTCAAAACTTGTTCTTGTTGCAGACTGACAGGTTACCTTTTTTTTTGTGACCAGTTTTGTACTGGAGACGATTATGTTAACTCTGAGGGAGCAAAAGCAGAGATTCACAGAATCACAGAATCACGGAATTGAAGGGGTTGGAAGGGACCTTGAAAGATCATCGGGTCCAACCAGATTGTTCTGTTTCAACATACCATTGACAAAAGTAACAGTACCAGTAGCGACAGAGGAGCTGTTACCACAAGTTGAATTGTGAACTGACAATAGCACATAAAGCTAAATAAAGTAATTGAAAAACAGCTATATTTTGGATGTTGTTTTGAATCCTACTTTTATTCAGTTATTTTACGCAGCTTTAACTTTTATAGTCACACTTGGCTTTTAAACTATAATTATGACTGCTATTTTTTAGTTCCCTCAACAGAAGAGTCAAAAGGCATCACTGTCCTTTGATAAATTGGGAGCCATTTCTAAGACTAAGATAAATAGAAGCCATTAGCAGAGTCTAGATAAAGATAGAAATCTATGTAACAGGCCTCCCGCTGAAATATCACAATGTTATTTTCAAGTACGTGGTGCTTGCACTGAATGAAAGACAAATGAAAGAAAAATAAAATAAAACAACTCAGACTATGTTTTGGTTTGCTTTGTCTTCCCAGTGAGAACTATCTGCAGTTCAAAGGCAGTGTTCCGCCTCCTCGCTTGGCCTCGGTTCTTGCTTTCATTCTTGAAGTGCTTCAGCGAACGCAGACCACTGCACAGTGTGACGTCGGCTTGGTTCTCCCGGCTGTGTTGAAATGCTTGGTGCTGGTTAATGAGCTGCAAGGTGAGCCCCTTCTTTGCTTTTAATACGTCTCTCTACACCTGTATGACTTTTATACTGGCTGAGCATCCTTCATCCCAATGTGCAAGTTTTCCATGGCTTTTAGATGAGGAGAATGAGGTGCATTAGCCAGATAAACTGGACAAGCTTTGGCTGGTCATTAAGTAGGCTGGGACTTATGTCTCCAAGACAGGAGTTCTGCTCTCAGACTCATGTGCTGTTCTCTGATGAACTCATGATCGGTTTGTCAGGAATCTGAAGAGCATTTCCATTCTCCCATACTTCCCAGCTCATTTCTCCCAGACTTTGTAACTGTGGAAGTTTTCTTGCACCTAAAGCTTTTAGCCCAAATTAGTCTAGTACATGTTCTCCGCGTAGAGGCATCAGAAAGCAACCCGCTACTTTTGATCCATTTATGAAGGGATCTTTGAGTCTCCTTTTCTTTCAGCACGTTCCGATTGGTAGTGATAACTTCATTTTTAGCTTCCTAAAAAATGAAGTACTGTGTTCACCCCACAGTTGTATACTGAATGTGAATGTGAATGTGCCAACAATTTCCACTCCTTGCTGCCAGTAGAGGTATTAGGCAACGTGGGGATTTACCTCTGACTTCTCCAGAAAATTTTGGCTAATAAAGCAATTTTTGATTCTGTTCTGTGAAAGTTTCAAGGACAAGATATGCTCGGGTTAGCTGAATTAGCACACACCTTTCTCCCCACTTCTGCTATCATAGCCATATCTGTCTGAAGCTGAAAGTACCCACTTTGCAGTGTGCTGTGGGGTAGAGTGAGCTGAATGTCCCATGCTGATGTAGCCATCAACACACTGCCTGCCTAGACAGGATTCCACTATGCCCTTGTAGAGAAGCTGTTGCAGCTCAGCTCCACCATTACAAAGGAAGAGCTGTATCTTGCATCTTGAATATTTGGAAAAAAATAAATGGAAGAAACTAGCGATTTTTGTTATTGTTGTCTGAAAAAAGCACAAACAGGTGGAATTCAGAACAATACCTACCACTGAACATAAGGAGTAGATCTGTATAGCTCTGGGCAGGATATAATGCCATGACTGCTCTTCTTCTATTCAAATAGGAATGATTGAAGAATACAAACAAAACTTAAATTTAAATAAAATCCCTATTTCCACTAAGTGTATGTCTCTGCCCTGACTCAGAGACGATATTGTACTTAAAAATCTGTATGTTTAAAGAATAATGGTGGTGAAAATAGGACTTTTGCATAAATCTGTGATTCATTCTGTTCTTTATAGCCAATCTAACTAACTGCTCTAAGTCATTTCACTTGTATCAAAGTAAGATAAAAACCATTTTTTTCCTCATTTAAAAATTGTAATCTTCATGAAAGACATTCTCCAGATGGTCAGTTCAAGAGCTCTGTGTGAATCTTGTGATTTTTTTTTTTACAGTTAAAAAAATATCTACAGACATTGTGCAGTGCATGGTAGAAGGCTGCCAAGTGGGGTCAGGAGGAGAACATGCCACCCAGCTGACTTCTGTATTTAGGTAACTAGAAAATATGCCAATTGGCAGTGAATCTGCTGCAATCCAATTGACAGCAAACATGTTTTCTTTAAATAACTAATTATCTTTAACATACCACATTGTCTCTTGTTTATGGCACTTAAATTATGGTACTTTTGGCACTGGTTTTAAACGTTGCTTGGCCAAAGAGACAGAGCAAAAATATAGAGAATCATTATCTGTGTTTTCATGGATTAGGTACTGTTTTGAAAGGACTACAGTAGAGAGGTACACTGCTGCTGTAATGGGAAAATCTCCTCGTGAATGGTGATGCTGAGTATAAGGTCCTATGGGGGATGTGCATGCCTAATTTGAATTGTATATAATGGAGATCAAATCCTCATAAAACAAGTTTTGCTTTCTAGTTTATTAATTTCTATGACAAGTAAATAAAATTATTTTAATGTCAGTTATACTTATTCCATACATCTGCAACATCCTTCCTGTAGTGTCCTGTTCTTCATGTGGATACAGCAGAGCTAAGACCCAAAGACATTTTGCAAACCTGAACACTGGTGCTGTGTTGGGTTATATCTAGATGAAAGCTCCAGACACATTTTCTGAACTCCGTGTGTAATGCAGAGGCTTTGAGGTGTTTCACTCCAGTGGTGTAACTTCTCATTCAGATGTAATCTGTGCTCTTTAAAGACCTCAAGCCCTCAGGAAGATGAATGGATACGCTTCCACCCTGCTTAAGATCTAGTGGAGCTTTAGAAAGAAATGCTTATGTTGTTTCTGCAGATTTCAATCTAGATGTCTTGTCTTAATGGACTTTTTCATTTATTAAATAATAAATACATCTTTTAGTTTTCCATTCAGACAGCTGCAATACAAAGTAAAGTGCTCAGGAAGAAGTCAGCCCGACGAAACAGCAGCAGAATCTGACAATTTGCTTGAAAATAAATGTGTTTTTTTTTTTCCTCAGCATTAGCCTTCAAAACCATGGCTCTGTTTGGAGAAGGTATTCCATGTAGAGTATTTCAGTGTAACAATAGGAAAATTTCCATGCAGCCAGATTGCTTGTTCTGATTACTCTTCAGTTGTTCTTGGCATGTTCTCTGTATCTGGTTTTGACCTTGCATTAAATGCCTCTGTGTCCCCCTCAGGCAGTTTATCCAGGACTACATTGCAGTGTATGATCACCGGGTTTACAGCATATTAGAAGCAGTGGCAGTCTTGGATCAGACGTTAGTTACCAGCCTGATTCCCACAATGACACAGGCTCTGAAGGATTCAGAGCACAAACAAGGTCTTGGAAGAAATGCTGCACAAAGGTTTGTTTTTTGTTTAATGCTGCTTTTTGATAATGAATAGTAGGGTATATTCTCTTGAAAGAAAGCAATGTTAGACAGCAGTACAGATACTAAAAAATGAGTGATTTTTAAAAGTGTTCAAACAAAATCTACTTTGCTCATGCCTTTCATGATTTTAAGCCATGTTTGTTAAGTATCTTTAGAGATATTTTGACGCTAGGGCTACAGACCCACACAGAACAGAGCCAGGCTGCCTCTGTTCACTACACTCTATGTTATAAAGCATGCAGTGAAGAATTCCTGCCCCAATGAATTATCCTTAAGTAAGTACCTGTTTTAGATAACTTCATGGCTTAGATGTAAAATTACAGTTTAATCAGATATCATCTCAGATGCTTGGAAAGAAATATCTGTGGCTGAATTTTAAGAGTTCTTTTATATTATAAACTTCTGGGAGTTGTGGCTGTTCAGAAAAGGCCAGCCTCCTCTCCAACAGGCACAGCAGAATCACATTTTCTCCATTTGCCCCCTTGAGAACTAAGGACAGAAATATTTGACTTGTGAATCCATCTAGCCTTAGAAGCAAATGGCACAAGGTGAGCTACTCAGCACAGTTGGTGGCTTCTCTTGGTGCAGATGCAGCAGTGAACTTTTAGCAACCATATTAAATGTTGCTACAAAAATCGAGGCAGCTCTGCACCTAAGCCAAAAGGGCTCCTTCCATTACATCTCCTAACTGGAATGCAGGTTCTAGCAGGTCAAGGCCAGATCCTGGCTTCAGTGTCTGCGTTACACATACTGGTACCCCTCAAAGAGTAGATCCTTGTCACACCTCAGCCTGGGGAAGTTTGGATGTACAGGTACACTTTGGCAGGGCCTGGGTAGTTTAAAAACAAACAAAAACCAGTCATTTAAGAATGAAATTAATGGGATGGTAAAGGTTATTCAAGTAGTGCACATTGGCTATGTAATGAAAAATATTTAATTCATTTATAATTGTATTATTCCCTTTTTATTAGCTTGGTAGTCTAGTATCTCACATCACCGTGCCTGTAGCATGAGTCACAGAGAGATTTCCTATGCAGAAATCAGATAGCGAACACGGTGAAGTCTCATTGCAGATCTCCTCTAAGCCCTGGTTAACTCCATGTTTTAAAATAAAACAAAAATCTATTTCACAGCAGCTCCCTAAGGAAAGAGACTTCTAAGTATCTTCACAACACTTATAGCTGTAAATTATGCAACCCTCATTCTTCCTCCAACCCGGCCATGCTAAAAATTCACAGCAAACAAAGCTGTGGATAAATAGGGAAAGAAAAAGTTATTGTGGGTTCATATCCCAATGTGTTTGGAAATTATGTGCTTTTACTCCTCAGACGTGTGAAACTTTTAACTAACACATCACTTTTTTTTTGTTTTTCAACAGAGAAGCCTATAAAAGACTCTTATCTTACCTCTCAGAGGCTGGACAAAATGAGATACAAAAACTGGAAAATGAGACAGGTTAGCAGTATTGATGGTGATTGATCCTTTCCTCTGACAATGTTGATACCTAAAACTGCTCTGTACAATACAGTAGCCTAGTTTTTATCTTTACAACTGCAATCCATTTATCTTTTTTTTTTTTCAAGCTATGTATTAAATTTAATGATTTCTATGGTATTTGAATATTGTCATGCATCTGAAGAGTAACTGAATATACTGCTGAATGGTGATTAAGAGGTATGGCAAATTTATTACATGTCCAAATGTCTACATGAACAGAGCCTGTATTGCAACATACAAGGCAGGATTTAAAAAAAAAAATAATAAAATCAGAGTAATTACACAGAACTCAATTCACATTGAGACCTGACCCTCTTAACACTGTCCTTTTGAAAACCTTCAGTATATTCTTAAGAAAATTGTAGCTTTGTGACTTCTAATTTATTATGTTAGGAGAATGAGAAAAACTTATCTGTAGTACTGAGCTTTTTGAATGCAGTGCATTCACCAGTAGTTGGGCCAGTATGGTATATATTAAGAAAGGTCTTGTATATATGTTGCACAAAATGTATATAGCTGTCTTAACCTTCCGCCTGTATTAAAACATTAAAGTTTTTCAGTTTCCAGTGCAAAATCTCTTCTGTTGTGTTTGTGGGTAATAGAAGAAAACATAGGCTCAGATTTCCTGACTTCTTCCTTTTCAGTAATGTTTTAAAATTAACCCAGAATTTACAGGGATCCCATGTTGTTTTTTATTAGTCATGACACTGCTAATAACACATTTAACTTACAATTGGTATAAATAGTGTGAGAAAAGAGAAAGAGGACAGTAGACCTCTGAAGGAAATGCTTATTTGGGATATTTATTTCATTTGAAATAAATAGTATAGCAGTTACTTCTGTTTCCCTCAAAAGCTGGATTTATCAAGTATTTTGCTGCATTTTGGATTATCCTTTGGGTCTTTCCAGAAGGAGTCTAGCTCTAACTTTTTCTGTGTTTTTTCCAAAGTTCGCAGGAAACTTCCATTAATGCCTATGGAATTCAAATTTTTCACTCCCCACAGTAACCCATATTTTTGCAACCACTTACTGGACCCTAGGAATAGTAAGTTTTGCCTTAATGGCAGCACTGGTGAACAGGCTGCTTCGTTTTAACGTTATTCAGATTTTAACTTTATGATGTTAATGGGAAGGAAAGATTACTTTTGCGTCTCAAAAATGCCACCAAAAAAAATCTTGGTCAGAGCGACTTTACTTCCTTCATGGTAATTTTATCAAGTCCGAATAGATAATCTTTTTCCCTAAATCAGCTATCGTTACTTTGGATAATGCAATAACTAAAAGCCTCTTTAGGCTACTTAATAGTGCAGAACGTGAAGGTTCTTTTCATTATGAAAGTGACTTATTGAACTTGCATTGTAGCTTCTTGTAAGCTTCTCTACCTGGGAGGAGTTTTATTCATCTCAAGAGAATTGTACTTCTAAAAAGCTTTTAAAAAATAAATAAGTTTTCCGAGTAAGATTAATAGAGATGTCTCTTCAAAATTTGAGTCCTACCACCCAGATTACAGAACAGATGTCTGACTGTAGTATTACTTCCTGAAAGTAAAACCTTGCACCTGTAAAGGATGGAGCAGACACAACAAATCATTTAATGATGTGTTTAGCAGATTGTTAAAGACACATTTAATACTAGCTGTAGTGGTTGGAAGTTTCTGAAAAAGCAACAGAGTTTTATGCAAATGGTAACAGCTCAGTGCATAAGAAACTGATTTAAACAGTTTGGAAATTATCATTCTTCTCTGTCAGAAAGTTAATGTGAACAGAAATAAAGTATTTTGCATCATATTCATCAACCACTGCCAAATGGGCAATCTGGTTTGGTCTAATTATTTGGTATGGACGTTTGCAGATGTGACTGACAGTTTTGATAATATTAATGAGATGAAGGCTTGCAGAGTATTACTCTAGACTAACTTATCAAGTATACACCAAAACAGCAGTCCAAAATTAGTTAGAAAATAGAAGAAAGTGCTAAATTTAAGTACAGTATTAAAAAATGACTGATAACCACCACAAAACTAAACAAATGATGTATTATCTTAGACAATATGTTAGATAATTATATTAGACAATAATTGTTTTATGTGTCTTATTAGATGCTGTCCATATAAAGCTTAAATATTGCTTAGTGTATGGAGTAAACCTTTCTATATTATTTTTCATGCAGTTTGGTTTATAAAAAGTAAAAATGCCTACCTCCCTTGTACATGGGGAACTGCTAAAGCTAGAGCAGGAAATCCTGGAAAGCTTCAGCTTCTACACTGGTTGCTACCCCTGACAGGAGCAGGTCATCTGCACGTAGGTACAAAGGCTGCCTCTTCACTGTGCTTAATGAGTTGCAGGACAGAGCTTTGCTGCAAATCAGGTAAAGGGGATGTGAACAAAAGACTTCCACCTGCTGGTAAGCCTGCAGTATCCTTAGCCTCACTCAGAGGAAAGGAACTCAGCCCCTGCTGAGCTTTCTTCTTCTCCCTCCACCAAAGATTCAACCCCATGGTCATTTGTGAAATGGGTGGCCATCTTCTGAGGCATCTGCACTGGATCTTGTATGCAGAACAGGAAAAGTGTGAAAGCAGAGGCTTTCACTCAGAGATTCACGCTTTGATCTGTTCTGCCAGGGATCAGTATCCTGGTGGCATGGAGCTGGGTTTTTGTGGCAGCTGAAAATGTCACCTCAGGGTTTAGCCAGCAGATACTTCAGTGTGCTGCAATTTGGGCAGCAGCCAACAAGAATTTTTTTATCTCTCAGTGACTCCCTAGTCTTAAGCTTACTTAAGCGTCTTCCTTCCGAGCAGTTTTCCTGCCAGTATTTTTTGGGATGGAGGGGTTGTAAGCACTTATATTTGAACTGGAACGAGTAGGCATGGCTGATATTACTAGCAAGTCATACACCAACCTCAGAGACTCACTTAAGTGATCATCACCTCTGCAATGTGTTGGGACAGGCAATTTCAGACATCTGTTTTCAAGGCAATGTAGATAGAAATCTACAGGGAGCATCAGAGCAGAAATCCTCTGCAAACCAGGGGGTGTAGATGTGTCACTGTCTAACCCTGCATTAGATTTTGGAGTCTTTATTTCTCAGGAGAAATGGGCAGTGAGCTACCAGAAGCTTCCACTACCACTGTGCAGGTGTCTTTCTCTGCCAAGTCCCCTGTAGGGTCATCTGCCCTCCACTAAGTGATATAGATAACTGTTCTCCACTGAGTCTCAGGGGAGGATCCCTGCAAAGCTATTAAGCAAGGCTCCTGTGACAAGAATGTTGATAATTGGAAAACGGGGTCAAGCCTCAAATCTGAGATGATGTCTAGCAGATGAAGAAATTATGTCCTGAGATCACCTTCCCAGAGATGTATACCAAGCCTTACTCTGAATGTGTTAAGAGTGTTAATACAAGCTCATTGACTGCAGAGAAGACAAGAACTGCCACTCGGATGCTATCAGCCCCTGACAGTAGCAGCTGTGTCAATCAGTTGGTGAGGGGGAGCCACACTTCCAGAGGCATGCTAGAGCTTAAAGAAGGCATTTGCCAAAAGCAGCTTGAGCATTGTAAATTATTATTATTATTTTTAGGGGACAATTGCTCTTGCAAGCAATTTGTCCTGAAAGATGGCTTCAGAAGGCATACATGTTCCTTTCTTTTATCCAGTATTGCTATTATTTTACAACAACTGGAAGATTTTTGCTTATAATTATTCAAATTGTTTTAGAGGATAATGGGCATTTCTACTATCTTATGGAAAATACTGTGGTTGAGATCACACTGTCCATATGGCTGTAGACCTATGCAGGGGGAGCTTCACCAGTTTTACTGGCCTCCTTTAGATCAATGGCACGAATGTGACCTAATCCAAACTTCCCAGAACTTGTGAAATTACTGAAAATTAATAACATTTTACTTACTTAAAATAAGGAAAATTGGCTTCCTGGAGGAACTGTTCAGTTAGCACCTGGCCAACTGCATATTCTTAAGAGAAATTGGTGTAGTGGCCACTAACATTTAAGCTTTAAAGGAATAGTACAGCCTACTGTGCCTATCCATTTGTAAATCTGTGTGTTGGGTTTTTTAACAGGCTGGAGCATTTTGGCCCCAGTTCTCCAAACATTATTTAAAGACCTTATGACATATTTGCCTCTATGTTCAAAAGTTACCTTTCAGAAATAATCCATTATCCCAGTAGTATTTAGACAGGCAAATGCCATTGCCATTCTGCTTCTTTTACCCAACTTTTTGAGGCTTCTGTGGCCTCCCACAAGCTTGGAGCAAGAGTATTACTAAGGTTAGAGTTAATAATGAAATTCAGAAAGCCTTCACCAAACACTGAGGGTTAGTCCTGCTCCCCTTCTTCATATGAAAAGTTCATGGTATTAAGCCATTTTGAATGTTAATTACATCATGGCAGGATCAACATATTTCAATGGTGTGTTAGTAAAATATTAAATCTCCATAAGCTGTTTCTTCCCCAAAGCCTGCGTGGTCCATCCCCAATATCTTCTTTGTGTTTAGCAATGCTAATAGTGTTGACAAGAGCTCTCTTTAAAGTCCAGCCAGTGCGAGCCTTGTAGGCATTTTCTCCACTGATTTTAGGAGCTTGAGGACTACTGTGCCCTTTCAGCTCTCAATTCCTACATACTGGAAAAAGGAGTAGAAAGCATTTTGTTTTTCTATTATTCTCCCTGTTCCAGAATTCAGGATACTGATCACCTCTGACCCATCATTGTCCTTGTGGTGTGAAACAGATGTCCAGCACATCATGAACAATGGCAGGGAGAAGAAAGTCTGGTTTATCGTTCCTTTAGTAACCCTAAAATAACTGAAAAATGATGGAGGGAGAGACAGAAACCTTCTATTCAAAATTCACATGCAACTTCCATTAGTCCCACAAAGCTGTCCATCTATTTTATAAGAATTTCCCATTTTTTATTGTTATTAAAGAACAGGAACATGATAATTTAAATTATTCCTTGCTTTCATTTTCAATGACAAAAAAAAAATAGTGGGGGAAGGCACTTGTTTCAATAAAAGAGCCTCTGAAATAGAAAAATTTATGCCTTTTATGCTGGAATAGAGCAGCAGACCTGTGCAAAGAAAAAGGTTCTGCGTATCTTGTAATTGCACAGAAGAGGAGCTGCCAACAGCACATACTACTTACTACTAGTCATTTAAGGAACTTCTTTAACTGTCCACCTAAATGCAATGTATTTCCCTCAGGAAACTGAAAAGAGGTTTTATTGCACTCTGTTTTTCCTTCCCTCAGTAGCTTCAGAAAATTATGTATGCATGCGTATTTTCAGTTTAATCATATTTTATAATTTTTAACTATTACTTAAAACTCAAATTCAGTGTAATCAGCCCATCTGTTAGCAATGGTTATAAAATTATGTTGAAGATTAAAAATCTGATGCAGTGTCAATATGTCCTAGCATAATTAGGCTTGTTTTATGATGAATGACTAGGATATGGCTTTTGTCTACTTGAGCAGCATTGAAATGGTAACCCTTTTGTGGGCTCAATATACAAAACATAGAAGTACGTATAAAACAAAGCAGAACAACGAGTGCCTGGATCCTGCACTCACAGATGTGATGTCTTTGCAGGCCTTCATAATTACCAACAGATTAATTCCCTGTCAAAACCAAATTCAATGAATTGTTCAGTCCAGCAAACATTATCTCAGATATACAGTCATCCCTGTAAAATGTCACCCAAACAGGCATTAAAATTTTTGAGTTTGCTAGTCATCAGTTTTAGAAAGGGCCGACATGACGTGTATTGCACTGGCAGAAAAATTACCTCAGTTGCAAGGTTAAGAGCATTGCTAAAAATACTTGTTCTGTTCTTCAGTACGTTAAGTATTGCAACATAACCTAATCTACCCATAGTAAGAGTTAACATTTTAAGCATTTTAATTCTGGCATTACTGTGAAAAAACTATACATAACCATCTCTATTGAAAAAACATCATGTGGATATTTTTTCCCTTTAAAATGTGTCCTTCAAAAAAAAAAAAAAAAAAAAAAAAGCTTAAATTTTGCGAAATTAAACTGTAGAAGCCCTTTACATAGTCTATGTGCTAAACTTCCTGCAAAGTCTTCCTCCGCTACAAACTCTGACTGCAGATGAAGTGTTTTAACCTTGCCCTCTTAATTTATTCTACATTCTAATTTTCAATAAACAGATGCCGCCTCCTTTCGCGCTTGTTTCCACATTGTTCCACATTCTGCCTGTGTTGTTTCTGCATGTGTGAATATTCAATTATCTATTTCTCCACGATTCTGTAACTGATCTACTAAATGTCTGTACAGGTTTGGGGGAGGGTAACCAGGGAAGGCAAAACTTAAGGAAAAAAAGAGTCACAAAAGTTTGAATTAGCTTAGGAGTCAGGTACTCTCCCTGAAAGCTAAGTTACAACGAAAACCATAAGTACCAACTAGAAATGCAAGGATTACAAACATGCTACTGCAGGGAAACAGACTAGCTGCACACTGGCTCATAACACATAAGCATTTCTTTGCTCAGCACTTGGGTGTGAAATGCTCAACAGAAACCAAAGGGGCAGAAGAAGCCGTTGGTGTTAGCGTCCTCTTGGTGCTGCTGCAGCATGTCAATATTGTGCAAGGCTGCTTCTGGAATCTGTCTTTTTGGACAAAAAGCACGAAGCAGCTGATTGCTATTGTGGTTATTTATAGCTAAGAATTGCTGATAAAACATCTTCGGACTCAAAGGTGAAGTGTGCCGTATAAAGGACAAAATTTTACTTTTCATGGGAATGACCCCAAAAAGGAGATCACAGGACAGGAGTAAAAGTACAAAGGCTCCTCATTACAGCTCTCAAGACCCTATGGCCCAGCAGCTTAGCTGCAGAAATGCACAGAACTGCACTGGCTTCCAAACTCACCAGTTTACAACTGCTGCTGCATTATTCAGCTGTAAAGGTACCTGTTTCCTGAAGCGCCTCCTGCGTTCTTGCTGGCTGTAACCTGCTCCATTACCTTGCACAATTTCCCAGCTGGGAACCTGAGTGAATTGTGCTGGCAGCTGCTTTCACACTGCGCTGGTCTGACTCCAGGAACAGAATGATCAAGCGTGGAAATATTCTTATTCTGGGCATCTTCAAGGCTCTGCAGAAAAACTGAGCTAAACTGCTGCTCTGAGGTATGTACCAAAAACGGTAGGCTGGGCAGAGATAGTGGTTGGGTTCAAAGGCTGATGGTTTCCAAAAATAGTACAAAATTAAGGAAAGATGAGGTAGGCATGGCACTCGTGCACAGGAGCCAGCAACTGGGTGCACTTTTAAGAGTCATGGGCACTAAATGTAAAACTGGCCAAGCAAGCACGTGCTGGTTCAGACCTCCAGGTCACTGAGCAGCCTTTGCCAGCAGGTCCCCTGCACAGTTTCATGCCGTCTGTGAAGCCAGCCTTGCTCTGCCACCCACCCCTGCTCCTCCCTAGCAAAGAATCCTCTCTGAGAGAAGAGCTGCTGCTGGCACCTGCCTGCTCTCTGCCTGCTCTCTGCCTGCTCTTTCACTGACACCCTTCTCTCTCCTTACCAGGTGATATAAAACCCACTTGCTCACCTTGCTGGAACTACGTGGCATTTTCTGAGTTCAGGTGCAGCAAAGCACCCCAGCTGTCCTAAAGGTCCTGCAACAAAAGCAGAAAAACCCAGCTAGGAAAGTGAGGCACCCAGGGTCGCCATGAAAGGATTCTCTGTAATCACTGGAGCCTGATGATTAAGAGCCAGAGCAGAATCCTGACACTAATAGGAGCATATGTGTTGTCCTGAGGCTCTGTGGCTGTGCTACCCTTAACTAATTTAATGCAATTGCACAGCTGTTTAAAACCGCTATTCACCAGTACAGACAATTGGTGATAACAGCCAGAACAGTAAAAGTGTCTAAAGGGCAGAACAAACATGATAAATAACTTTCTTGCCATCCACTCTTGCCTTTCAGCCCTTGAACCGAGCGGCACATGCTGCTTTGCATGGGGACGCTGCCCCCCTCCACCTCCCAGCTCAGGCTCCTGTCACAGCTTGCTGCCGCTGCTGAACGGCCGGGTAGCTCTGCCGTAATCCCTCGCGTTCATGAAGGAGACGATTTCAGAGCTGCAGCTGTGGGAAGCTACAAGGCCTAGGAATAAAAGCATCAAAACTGAGTTTAGACACGCGAAACGTACGCCGCACTTTTGTCTGGAAGCATGCTGTGTTTTACCTAGGCTAAGGAATTAATTTCCCCACCTCCTGCAAAACAGGGAGTCAGTGACGGTTCTGCAGAGCCAAAGCTGATCACTCACCTGACGTGGCACTGCTGGGACCCCGCCAGCAGCCCCACGGCTCTCCATCGACCCGGGTCATGATTATTCAGCCACCCTCTGCCTGAAAACAAGGCATGTGCCATGTCCACATCTCTGTGAGTTGTATGTAAGTGGAGCTTCGAATGCTCCCCAGGCTTGGGCCTGGCAGCCCACACAGGACAACAGTCAGATTTTTAAAGTATAACAGGCCTGTGAGGAGAGATGGCCCTTGCAGGCCAATTTTCAGGAGATTAAAGGAATTAAAACTAAAAAAAAATCCCAATGCATAGCCTGTAGAGCTCTTGTATAGTTAAAGTGCTGGCTGGATGAAGCCTCGTTTTGTGTGCAAAGGAAGAAATTGCTTGCACTCAGTGAAAGCAGCTGGAGCTTGGTTCTACGTAGCTACATGCTGCTAAGAAAATCCAGAAAGAGAGAAAAAAAAAGTCTTTCTAACCTGAAAATGACTGGAAAAGGCAAGGCAAGGTGGTGTGAGTTAGAGATGGAGATGTCACGAAATGATAAAACTCACCTCTCTGTACCACCAAGCAGGCACTTAAAGATGCACTGGACTTGGAATCGCTGCTCACTGGGCAACATCAAACCCTTCCCGTCCAGCAAGCCCATGCTCTTGCTGTGGCATATTCTGCACCTGGCATTTGCATGAGTGTCAGTAGGAATCACACAGGTCTGCTCAGATAGCACAGGGGCAGGGAACAGATCAGTAGGTAAAGCAGAGAAGAGTACCCATAAATCATAAATAGAGAAAGATTTAATTATATGCTTGGTTAATACTTACAAACATTGAACTTGTTGTTAGATATGTAAATAAAGATGAAAATATGAGATGGGGGCTGCAATAGCCAAGCAAAGCCAAAATATAACAGGTTAGAGTATTTATTGTGAATTGGCATATGCTTGGAGTATGGAAGGGAGACACGCTACATAAACTGAAAGAATAAATAAATAAATATTGACATTGTTATACACCTGTTTAGCCTCTGGAGACCAGTGATTTGTGGGACCATATGTTGGACAAAATGAGACTGTTCATTGATAATTGTAAATGTGGTGACCCCTTGCAAACTGGATATTAAAAATATTAAGTAAATGGCACATTTTAATTATACAGTAAAGAAGCTGTTCTCCACCATTAAAAGACTGCAGCTGTCAGGAGGAATTGATCATATGACAGAAGGTAACATTTATTTGATAGTAGACCTTGGTAAATGACATCCCAAATGATCTTTAGATTCTCAGACACACACATTCCATTCAGACTTGTGCTTAACTGTGAAGCCTCAGTGTCTTTGTCCTTCACAAATTTTTGTGTGATCCTTATATACTACAGGGCTTGTTTGTTTTTTATTTTTGTTTTAATCTGCTTCACAGTATTTAAATTTCAAATGAAGTATTATTAAATGAGAAACTGTAAACGATGGAGTTCGGAATTGGAAGTCAGCACATTTGTTATTCTTTTTGCCAACGGTATCAAGTAAGTTGCATAATTACCATAGTATTATATCGTCTTTGTCAACATAAACACTACTTTCTCTCATCTTTGAAAGTGCCATTGGTGAACAACTGAACGTGCAGATTCCAAAGAACAGCAGCCCAGGAAGGAGCTGAGAGCATTCACAACGCCTTAACAAAGTTGCATAAGGAAATTAAATCAAGACAGGCAGCAAGTAGTCACCAGCAGAAATGCCAAATGCTCTCACATATATGCCTCTGCATCTGAGGCAGAGGAGAGAAACCATGGTTTTTGTAGCTTCCTTCCTGCCTATTGTGATCCGACTTTAAGACAAATGTGTGAAGGTAAAGCAGCAGCCCATGGGGATTGATTATTTTCACTGATCCAAAGAAACCCTTCAATATGCAGGGTTTGATTTTTCCCCTTCCACATCTGATTTTATGAAGTACGCGTTCCTTGTCTCACATTGTGCCGATCCTGTGGTGAGGCACTTGCAGAGTCTGAAGGTTGGGGCATGTGAAGTAAGGAGCTGGGAGAAAGCACGCCGCTATTCCATTGGAAGCAAATGGGAGCGTAGGCCCATAGAAAACTTCTTCCTTCCCTTCCTTGCTAACATCCAGCACCTGCAGGTCAAAGTACAGAAAATATTTCAGGGATCGCAGAAGGAATCTGAAACAAACCCATTGGCACAGGCTGCATAAATGTATTATTAATCCCGACAGAAAGAAAGTTTCAGATCACTTCTGGATTCCGGTTATGGATCTGGTGATTTATTGCAGTCGTTATCACCCAAATCTTATCTTAGCTGAGCTGCTTAGTAGCAGGCAGTGGCATTTGATGGTGCTTCCTGGCAGCAGAACATGCAGCCATGCAAGTAGAGAACAGAAATTCTAAACAGTTTGTCAGCTCGGTTTATAGGGAGCAAGGGAAGCTCTACCAAAGCTGGAAAGCTTTGATTCATACCTGACTGACTTAAGGAAAATTAAGCAGTACGGGAAAAAATGTATTTTATTCCGAAGATGAGAGCAAACTCAGACTTGCTGAATTTGAAGATAAAAGGGGGTAGTTTCATTGGTTAAAGCCAGGCACAACACCTACAGCTGAGAAAGGGCAGCACACGCAGCTCTGCCAGAGCACTCACTGTATTTCTTTTCCCTTTTACATCGGGACTGTCTCAAGCAGGCTGCCAGTTCACGACCAGTTTGGGGATGTGGACAAGTGTCCATTTTGAAAGCAAGATTCCAGGATGACTGTCACTTGTCACTAAGCAGTATTTACACCCAGGTGCAACACTGCAAAGTACCTGCTGGTTATAAACAAGCAGGTTGGTGTCATACAGCCACTGCTTTGATGCAGTGATGTTTGTTACTCCATTTAGAGCACAGTGCTTCAGGTAGCATTATCCGACCTGTCTGTGTGATGTTTTTCATTAACAACTGTTAGATGTGGTATCCAACAACTTAGGAAAACACAATTATACTATGACAAGAACATGGTTTTAACTGCTTATCTTGCATGATCTGTTCTTTACAAACTTATGCTAATGTGTGTTCATTATAAGATCAGCAGCTCAGCATCTGATACATTCCCTTATTATTCTAGGTCCAAATTCAATCCTTATGGGACAGTTTGGAGGTTAAATCCTAAAATCCTTAGTTGGAAGCTAATGAAAATGTTGTTTATCAGCAATAGTGCAGAAACTGAGACATAAACAAGAGTTTCTGTCTGTAACTGCCCAGCTGGTCACAAAGCAATGGCTGTGATGCAGATTTGCTCCACTCAGAAGAATGTAAGAAGATAAGAATCCCTAATTTCTGTATGGGAACATCTGAAAGACACAGATCTGCTGGTAAGCTGCTGTGACACAAGATGAGAGAGCAGAAGAGTTTATTGGACAACCCACTACCTACAGCGGGGATCAAAACTTCCATTCAAGCTTTGAAGCAGTAAGCGCTAGGGCAGGTTGCAGGCTGGCTGAACTCTGTCAAAGAACAACTCATTAACTCTGGCTGCTCTTCTGAAAGACAACTTGGAGAGAAAAAAAAATCACAAGAATGGCTGAAAATGTGTTAGCCCATGCCCCACTGTCCATTTCTGCACAGCTTTTCCTTCTGAATTCTACTGTGTACCCTGAGAATAATATATCCACTATTTTAGCCAAATCTTGTCAAAGGAGTGATTCCTCAATTCCTGCTTTCCTATAATACCTTACTTAGAAGAGTTACATCTAATGGCTAATCTGGAAATATTTTTTTGATATCCACATTATTTCCTCTCTGGCTTACAGAGATTCAGTGGCTGCATAAGAAACATCCTTAATCTCTCCACTTCACCTGCATTTTCCTTTTTGAATAACTTCAGTGCAAAGCATATCCTTGCAAAATTATTGGAAAAGACTTTAAAAGAAACCTAAATCACTCACCTGGATACATGCCAAAGGCTCATTTGTCCAAATCGAATAGCCGCCAACGAGATATATTCTACCATTGTGGACCGCGACTCCAGACTCATTTTGACCTAAAGCAAAAAAGGAAAGAAGCCACTTCCAATGTTTAATTAACCCTTTTTAACACTGAGTGCCAGAGTTCTGTAGTAAGATGCAAATGTACTTGGCAGCAAATTGAGAGTTTCAGAATTCACAACTTGCAACAATTGAGGTGAAGTGTGAGGGCTGTTCTCCACTGTCTGTGGGAGCACAGGACAGGGCTGTCCAGAGAGAGACCACAGATGAGCCAGGTCACAGATGTGCAATAAACTGAGGCTGTGCAGGGGACCATCTGCTCTCTTCTCAACGTTTTTTGTGTGCTTGTACTTTGTAGGTAATGGGTGAGCTCCCCGCCTGCCTCAGCTTCTGTCGCACATCTAACAGGCATGTAAGCCAAGGGAGTGACCTCCCCTCACCGCCTGCCCATACCCATGCAGCCCCCTCGCTCCTACAGGCACAAATATGGTGCAAGCTCACTCCCATAGCCATGGTCTTCTTAAATTCACAAGTTTTGAAGGGTAAATACTGCCTTAAAAAAAATAAAATCTGCACTATATGGTACAACAGACACAGAGAAAAATTTAGATGGCTTCTCCTGGTGCTGGTTGTGGGAACAACCCACCAGGTCATGTCCGAGGAGAGGCTGTTGTCTCACAGCACTAAGTGATATAGGGTCAGCTCCAGAACAAAGGTGCCTACAGTGCCAGCACTTTTGCAATCGCAAATTAGATGTCCTTCTCCAAGGCAGTCAATCCCTCCAAATAATAAAATATAATAAGTAATGGAGAGCAAAAGGAATACAAAACACTAGTTTTGTTTTACAATGTATAACTCTTTCTTTTCAGTCCGTGCCTCTCTCCCCTGTGTCCACAAAGGGCTCTGATGACCTAACTCAGAGACAAGCAACCCTCCTGAAGATCCTTGAGATTAAGAAACCCAGAGCAGTATCCTAAAAAATAAAGATACCATCAGAGCATTTTTTAAATCTTTCAGAATGAAAATGACATGACTGTTTTATTTGTCAGGCATTCATTTCTCTGACATGCTGCCAGCTATCCTAAGCTTCTAGTTAAGTTCCTACATCTTTTCAGTGGTAGATCTTAGAAGTGAATGCAACACCAAATCAAGGCAATGAGAAGTGAGGTAGGCTCAGTTCTAGGATTTCTATAGCAGTCTGTGCTGAAACCTAGTGGCTGACAAAGCTGTTACTAAGGGAGCTCCAAGTCTGCTGCAGAAGAAAATGGCCCCGACATTTATGTTGGCTTATCCTGGAAATGCATTCTCTTCTGCAAAGCTATTGTTGGTGCTGCTCTGAGAATGTGTCACATGCCTGTCTCTCCAAGAGATCTGAATGGTAGTACCTCTGGGAATCATATCAGGTGGTGGTGAAATTAAATGGACTGTGTTCCTCCTCCTAATGACTGTCATCAGGAAGTCCATAGATCCCATAGCTATCCGAACTACTCAACTCATCCCTGATCTGACAAAATTCCAACCAAGACACCTCCTTTAGAGAAATTTATGAAGATACTATCTAGAAATAAGTGATGGTTAATAGATTTCAGTATAAGCCCTGCTCTAATACATCAGCAAGCAGAAAGCTCTATAAAATTATGTTATTACAGTAGAAATGCATCTGCCTGTTGGACACTTAGAACAGGGAGCTAAATCTAATGGTGCATACAAGCTTTTGGAGAGTCAAAAATAAGTACTGTTGGTATTCTTTGACAAAGTATCTTTGATTGTCTCATTAAATCAGATTTATGTGCATCATCTTAAAAATTTAGCCTAGTGTCCTAAAAAAAAATGCTTTCCTGAACAATGAATGTTGAAACAGTAATCTAAAGTCTCTTGTGGGCCAACTATGGTCCCTGCCATCCAGAGCCAACTGAGGTGAAGATGTGTAGTTCCACATACCAAAGGCATCTAAAGGGCAAAGAATTGATGTTTTACTTTAACGGTAGCAATTTTCCTCTTTTGGTATACAATACTTGCCTGTTAACATGTTGAAGCTGCAACGTGTCCACTGGTCAGTGTCTATGCTGTAAGAATCTATGTGCCGAACCAGGATCCGGTCATTGTTGTAGTCCAGGTCATTCCCACCTAACACGTACAGTTTCCTTTGGACAGCAGCCATGGAGTGATACACTCTCCTCTGCAGCATTGGGCTACGGCTCAACCACTTATTCTGGAAACAAAGAGACAGAAGTTGTCTCAGCACTGCTTGTACAACAGCATTAGCACTTATTGGTGTTCTCCTTACCCCTGGCTGGAAATCCTGGGTGTATATACTTGTGTTATTCATATGTTAAAAATGCATATTGGTTACAACATGGACTAGATATAATGGACTTTCAACACATGGTTTATACTTCTCACATTTAAATATATTAATTTAATCGTATTTCGTGTTCTGTTTTTCTGTTTAGCTCCTCAGGCTTCAAAGTTTTTTTACTTCTGCAGAATTCAGTAGCAAATACTCCTTAAGCAAGACTATTAGATGTCTCCTTTGTATACCACGCTAACATATCTGTACCAACTAGCTCTGTTGAGAGAGAAGAGAGATTCTTCTACTTTTCGTTATTCAGAAGCTTATTTGATCTTATCCTTGGGGAGCGAAACAACAGGGAAAAATAATTTCCTAAAGAATCTTCTGAAGTGATTCATGTATTTGGTTTTATGCTAACCCTTTATTTGTGGGCACTCGCAAAGTAGCATCCTTTTGCATATTTTTCCTCCTGGTTAACAATATTCAAGAATTCTACTTTTTGAGGGTGGGGGCACAGGAAAGACAAGGGATTACAGCACGGTATTTTAAATGCAGGAAAACAATTGCTCCTGCCATGCTTGGAGAATCAAAACAACCTGACAATCAACAAGATTAATTTATTTAAGTGGAGGAAGTTAAAATCTGTGAGGAAATTCTTTGTGTTGCACGTGCTAGCGCTTGCGGTAACTCAAGAGCCTCTAATAACACTGCCTTTTAACCTCCGCAATCTATAGCTATACATTTCAATGTGTAATAGTTGAATATTAGGCATTAATGTTTGCATTAGTAGTCCAGTCTCTTAACACGAGGCTATAGACACCATCTGCTTTGCAAAGCCTGCCTGCATCCCCTGATTATATCTTTAGCTTCCTCCACTGCAGTGCCTGCCAGGTGAGCCGCCAAGCACTGCAAAGGCAAAGAAACTGAGGGGCCTGGTGGGGTCATTTCTAATAAGCCAGCGTGTGAATACTAATCAGTGGTGGGGAAGCAGAGGTCACCCCAGCCGGCTTGTTGGCAGGTAGCTGTGTGCTCTGTGGCAGATGGCAGGCATTATCGACTCGCCACAAAGGCCTCGCGCAGAAGCGAGCACGAGCGCTGAATGATGGAGTTATTGAGATTCTGTGCAAGATGCAAGCAGATGTGATGGTTTCCAGTACCCACCGTAAACAATATGCCAGCAGAATTTTTAAAAAGAGCATGTGTGTACAAACATGAAGCAGACCTCATTTGAAGAATGCGAGCACACACTTCCTCTTTAACTCTTTACACGTCGTGCTGGCCTTCTTGCTACTGGCACCGAAGTTGCTGCTCATATTTTGGGGGGCAACTTTCAAAGCTGTGTCAGCAAATAAAGAGCTGAAGCAAAGGACGAGGGACAGAGAGACAGGATCTAAATAGAAGCGTCCCCCTCATAAGCAAAATAAGATTGCTGCCTGTAATTACCATGTCTTTGGGTTTGGGACAGATTTGGCATTTGTATAATCGATGCCTAAAACTGCAACTCAAAAAGGATGAGGCAGGTTTGTCAGTGCCTGCTTTCAGCTTCAGCACCCATATGTGGTATGCCTTAAAAAGTCAATGGGGACCACAGCGAAGTGTCTCCTGGCAGAATTTGGTTCCAAATACAGCAATCAAAGGCTCTATCCTGCAATCAGAGAAGTCAATACCTTTCTGTGCAGGTGTAAATCAAGCTATGCAACTCTGATTGCAAGCTTAGGACTTTTATTTCCTAATACAAGCAAGAGGGCATAACCATGCCCTAACCCTCTGAAATGGTTACTGAACCATGCTAACCTAATCAAAACACATACATTATGTATGAAATAATCCCTAAAAGATATTTTTGGTGCTTGGGTAATGAAATGATAGGCACCCTTGCAGTCAGCAGAATAAGTCACCGGCAGGTAGCACAGTTCTGAAAGTATGCAGAAAACAAAAAGCCTGTATATATATAATTGAAAGCAGAAATGTCAATGACAAGAAGCAGTTTTGTGACACTGACTTTGAGTCATACGTTGCCCAGGGCTGCTGAATTACAAAAAAAAATAAAATAAAATAAAATAAAAATGAACAAGCCAAGTAAATACTGATAAATAGAAGGGATTTAAAACACATTTATTCTAAGTATTTAATCTAAGATATTTCTAGCACCTACAGGCTTCAAAAATGTAAAAAGAAGTCGGGGTGTCCATTACTCTGTTAAACATACACATCTGTACAAAGTGAATTTAAAATACCACCAACTCAAATTAAACTTAAGGAATTATTGTATTTTATGCATTTGCTAACAGACCCTTTATAAGCAAAACACATGAGAAAAACACATACCACACAGATACTCACCTGCTTGGGATCATAGACCATAAGCCTGTTCTGATACTGTGCAGTGTTTGTTACTCCCCCTATGAAAGAGTTTATACAAGTTAATTTTTTCCATCTTAGCGAAACCAGCACCAAGATCGGATACAGCAAAATAACCATTTGTGGGGTCCATTTGCTGATAGGATTACACTGCATAGCCCCAGTTACACTCACATGCATCTGCACTTTTTAATCTGGTTACAAGGTATTAATTAGCAGGTTTGTCAAACATATAGAAACATGAAACAGAAACAACCCCAGTCATTGCCCTGTAAAGCTAATTCTGTTGGCTATAAACAAGACAAAAATCGGTTTGTTAAGGAATGACTGTGTGTTCAGCCATCTCCAGAGCCCCGTCCCTGCTGCCAGGAGCAGGCAGTGCCCAACATCCTTTAAAAACAAGGAAGTGGCTCTGCACTGCAGGGGAGGAAGTGGTAAGAGGGGAGCCATGCTCAAACAAGACTAGTGGCAACACCAATGCCAACAGGATGGCACAGCGCAACCCTCTGCAACTGCATTCCTGTGTGTCTTTGAAGAGAATTACATATTTATTATATTCATCCTGTATTGCAGATACAGATGTATTGCAAAGACTTGGTTGTAATTGAGTTACAACCTGACTTATGTTGGGAGGTTCCTCCACAGTGATCAGGAACCATGCTAAGCACTCAGCATACGAATTTAGCAATAACCTCTAAAAAGCAAATTATAAAGCCCAGAACAGACTCTCACACAGCTAGATGTCACAAAATAACTATTTAGCTCAACACAGAACATGTCTAATGCCTGCTCATCCTGCACTCTGAGGGTTTTAAATGGTAAATCTCACTGAGACAACTGGTGGAAAAGCCCATCTGTCTCAAAGCTGCAATCTTAGCTGAGGAAACGTATTCCTGAGTGTGCTCAAGTGTCCTACGAGCTTGGTGCCTCTGCAGCTCTGCCACCAGTGCCATCCCTGCTCTCTCCCCACACGGGGCTATGGGGAATTAGATGCTTTTATACCCATATACATGTCTCAGCATGCCTCCATGCATGCTTTTGGTTCAGAACTGTGCTGACGTTATGGACCCCCCCCACACACACACCTCTATCCCATCGTTTCATTTTGTGGAGCAGTACTGATGAGCGGTATCGGTACTCCCCTTTTCTGGAAGATGTTCAGCCAGAAGCTCCACTCTGGATGTGCACCAGCTCTGCTTCCATTCCTGTGCAATAACAACCAGTCTCTGTACCTGAGTGCTGGGAGTATTCAGTCCAGAGTACCGGAGTAAATCTACCGCAAAGCAAAACATGCAGACTGTACATAGCTTAGACACAGAGGACTTGGCACCAACGTTTTACCTGCTGCTCTGCTCCTGTTGGGGTGAATTACTTGCTAATAACAGTCCTAATGCTTAAGGATGAAATGTCAGATTGCTGTTTTGGAAACTGAAAGTCGCAGTTGTTTGGATGGTTTCCTCCAGAACACTAACCTACAGGAGATGCATCAGGAACACAGTGCTGGGTCTCTTACTCTCACTCAGAAAGAACACCACAACTTGGGTGGAAAGATGCGGAGGGAGAAGACAAAGAATGGGGTCACTTCCTTATGAAATAATGAAATAATCCAATAAGCGAAATTATTTTCCCCTCTTCACAAAAAGCCCCTCATATCAAGTACACAGCTTACATTTTTTCCTTGCAATATTGCTCATCTGTGGTGTTTTATCATTACATTCCCTTCACATACCGCTCTTCACTTTTAGATTAATCTGCCAAAATGAGATGCTAAGGATTTGCATACAGATTTGACTACACAAAAATAGATCTGGAATTAATAACAGTCTCTATATGTTTTAATTTCTTCTAGACTGGAGTACCCTTGCCTCCAGCAGTATTCTTGGCTTTGAAAGTCATCAAGCTGATTTGTCTGCTCTTAGGTTATGATGCCACATGCTGCTACACTGTCCCCTGCAATCAAAGTGCTTGCAGAGATAGATTCCATGCCTTCCCCTAACAAGTATATTTTATAGATTGGCAGTTTTGATCTCCCCTCCCCAGGGAGATAATCTGCATCTTAACAGGTTTCTATAGATACATCTGTCATTAAATATGCCATCTTATATCTGCATCAATTTTCAAACTCGAGTTCCTCCTAACTTTGAAGTGCTATAGCAAAAGTTTAAAATTTTCTGCCAAAATTCACATTTAACAAGTCTGTAATGTCCTCTTGAACTATTCTTTTAAAAATACTCCAGGCAGCTGGGAAAGGGCAGAAGAAGATTAATATGTCTCCTAAAAAATAGGACAAGGAAAAAAAAGTTTAAATGCTACTAAAAATAATACATACTTTCTCTCAGAAAAAAAAACTGGGGTAATCCTAAGATGAATTTCTTCAGCTGCTCAGCAGAGCTTTCTAAGAGGAGGGAAGGGCGAGGTATGGGAATGGCACTTGAAGATTTGAAACTACAAACCATGTCATGGAAGTTGATGTTAAGCAATAGCAGCTAATGTGGTAGAGAATCGATTAAAGAAAGTGAAAAAAAAATCTGCCTGGGGAAATGGCAGCAAAACGCCCAGTTTGGTCAGAGCTCAGTGAGTTTTACAAAGCAGGAGTGATGACCACACCAATGACAAGACAAGACAAGCGATGACAAGAGCGGTTTGCTTTGCAGACTAGGATTTCGGGGAGGCGAGGAATGCCCTCAAGACAAGCCTGGCTCTTTCTCATTCTTGCAGCTGTGGGACTGCACTCCTGGGAAGCCCAGCACCAACCCTGTGGGCTTGCAAATGTGTTTTCACTGCCACAGCCACTGTTGCTCACTCCTGTTGCAGCAGATGCTGTAAAACAGGACACAAACCCTGCTTTCTAAGCCCTCCAAAACCCATAACCTCCCAACTTCCCTGCTGCGTGGAGAAGGTCCTGGAAGTCCAAGATCCCCCATTTGTCCACCCCTGCCCCAAACATGCACAATGTTTGTTACAGCCCCCAAACCGTCCACAAAGTGCACTGAAAAATGCCTTCCATAAAGCCACCTCCAAAAGGAGAAGGGTGGTAGGCTGTAGGTTTAACACAATTTTCCCAATCAAACATTTATAATCCATATTTATAACGTGTCCTAGCAAGACCCCCATCTGACTTGAGAAATCTCATTCAATCCAAATCCCACAGAAAATCTCACCACTCTCTCCGAAGTCCCCAAGTGCTAGGCTGTGCACACGAATCCGACTTTGCTGGGAGATGTGTAAAACCACATGTTGGCAAAGAGCTCCCCGTGTGTATTCCTTCCAGCAAATACATGGAATATATCGAAACTCATGAAATGCGCCCTGTGGTACTCTGCTGTTCTAAAATAGAAATCTCTCCACTCTCTCATGCCCGTGTGTTAAACACAAGATCAGCCTTCCTCAACACGCGAGCCCACTGCCTTTTACTCAGGTGCAGTGAGGGCAGCTGAGCTGGAGCATCTTCCACCCCAATGAAATCCCTGAAAGACACCAATGGTAGCTCCACATGGTGCTGTTCCTCTCTGGATGAAATCCGGATGCCAATAAGAGGGGCACAAGCCCTATTTTTTTTTTGGATTAAAAAAAAATTAATCTTTAAAAACAGATGTTTACTATCAATCTATAAAGAATCAATGACATCAAACCTAAAATATCTGTGCTTGAAAGGTGTGAGATCCACTATCAGTATTCAAAGATAGTAATAATAAAAAAGAAACAATGTCCCATATGCAGACTAAGATGGGGTTACAGAGCCCCTATAGATGGCAATTTCTGTGCCAGCTGCACCACAAAACTGGGTTTGGTCAGATACTGTAGTCTCCTATTTATTCCAGATCTATTTTTCATAAAACAATATTATAGGCATTTACCTGAGGGGAGAACCCTCCTCGCATCATATAGCACACATAATAATAGTAAGGTAGCACTTTTCATGCCAAATCACTTGCACACTCAATAACTCTCTAAGATACGTGGTCATATCCTTGGTCAAAACCTCAGCATTAGGGGAAAAAAAAAAAGAAAAAGTCTTGAAATTATAAACTTCAGTCTTGATTTCTGAAGAAAAAATAAGTTGTTAAATAAGAAGGACAAGATGTGACTTTAGCTGACACACGGGTCAGTCAACTCAGGCCTCTGTGAAACCACAGCCTAATGCTGGGCTTCAGACCGCGCTTCTCATATGCTCCTCTCCCAAGCCCTTTACCAGGAAGAAAGCCTCCTTATCCCTTGCTGCAGATGCAGAAACGGCACCAAGCTGGCAGAGGCTTCCCCATCTCACCCCGGTCTCCACGTGTGGGGCACCTCCAGGGGAGGAGGATGGGGGATGCATGTAAGGAAGGTCTCCAGATCCGCATGCATGCGCCACGGGGGATGAAGGGAAGTGGGCACCGTTCAGGCTCTCACCCTCAGGGATGTTTCCCTGCTTCTATAGGATGCAACTGTCAGGGATGGTGAACTCCAAAGGGTTTGGTGCCGTTTATGTCTCTTTCACTCAAACGCTTTGCTTGAAGCATGTGGCATGCAATTCGCTTGTGAAATGGGTCAGGGTGTCAGATGTTAACTGCGGCCTGCAAGATTCATCTCTCTATAAAATTTCAAAACCATCTGCCCGATGCCATACTGTCAATGCAGAGGACTTATTTTAATGAATTCTCATACACTTTTTAAAATAAGAAAATAAAATTAAATAGAGGGCTGTGAGAAAAAAAAAAAAAAAAAAAAGAGAGAGAAAAAACGACAACACAAATATAAAAATATGTTCCACAATATATGGAGCTCAGAAAACTTGAGAGCTGAACCCATTTTTGCTCTCTAGAGGATAAGATTAGCTCCAAAGTGCAAAACTGGTGAGCTTTGGGCAGGTAACAACCCCAAAGGGGTGGTGGCAGCTTAGCAGTCCCTCCATAACCTGAGCCACTGACCTCCCAGCTCCCAGTTGTCCATGTCTGCATGCCCTTGGGCACCATTTTGTTACCACACTTCCCTTCCCTGGCGTCTTTGCCAGGATTTTATCCTCTGTGATTTTTGATTCCTTCTCGTGTTTGTCCCAAAGGAAAGCTAACAATGAACCCCAACAATAATAACAGAAAACCCTCAAGTCTAGTCAGCCTTTGATTAGAAAAGCCTTAGAAGACATGGGCTTGTAGTGGGGCACTAATGCTTTGACTAAAAAATAAGTAAATGATTTGCATGCAAGTCATGTTTTGATGACTCTCTCCACAAATACAAGGACTAAAAACTTATATTATCACTATTTAACTTCTTCACTTACTAAAAAAAAAAAGGACAAATTTTCATTGCTGTAGTGCCAGCTGGTAGCATCAGACTGACTTTGAGAGCTCTTGCTGATGACCTGTATTTCCAAGAAAAAGCTGCAGGGATATAGCTCAGAAACTGAAACTAATTTTTTAATTACTTAATTTTAAACCACATACTTAAAATTAGGTTCCCTCCTGCATTACTGATTACTCTTACACTAACACCTCATATATGATGGTAAAACAGCAGCTTTTTTCAGTAGTGACTGTTGGTATTTCAGCACAATAAAACTTCCCTCTGTACTATTCCCCTAGCCCTGGATATACATATACACAGTTAGTTTGTGGCCCTCAGCAATTAGTTAATAACAAAAATCTAGCTACAGTTACAGCATCCCCATCTACCTTTATTTAAAAAATAATACATAAACACAATTTTCAATCTGTGAATATGTAATGCAAACCACTACTCGAAAGTATTGCAGAATATGTTCCCGTAATCCACACTCACATGTCAGAATCTAGCAACTCCAAGCTGCTAAGCATTTTCTCCAAAGCTATACGGGATACAACCAAAAAGTCCCGTCTACTGCCAAAACTTCGCTCCTTCCTGCGACTATCACATGCTCTCAGTTTTGCAACACTAGCTGTGTTGATACACTTTTCAAATACAAATACTGGTAAAATATGGCTTGTTTGTTTGTTTTTCCCATTTGTTCAGTTCATCTAATAGACTTTTATGAATCCATTAAAGGCATATCCTTGAACACAATATCACACTGCTTCATTATATAAAGCAGACAGCACTTGAATGTACAGGTAAGCATGCATTTCACTGACATAACTAGGCACATTAATTAATCCCCAGCACAATATCCCTTTTCCTAACATATCAGGAAAGATTAAAAGACTTATTCATCAATCTCATATTTCACTTTAAAATCTCTAACAAATCGGGTAGAGTTTCTTACTTGTTTTTAGTAAATGATTTTTTTTTTTTTTTTAAGAAATTTAAAAACTTTTTTTTTCATGTACTAGAGACCAAATTCTGATGAGTGTTTCTAGAGCTCTCTCAATAAAAACTATATGGCATAAAACCACACAAATATGTTCATCACAATTTCCTAAAAACATTGTTTTCCAAAAATAGAAACTGTCAAATGTAAACCATTTAAGGGGAGCGAAAAAATAAAAAATCAAGACACAGAAGTAGTAGCATCCATGTGCTTCAACCTGCCCATCACAGGCACTCATCTCTTTCCACCAACAGAATAGAGAAGGTAATGAACAAACAGGGGACTGATCTGAACACCCAAAATCAGAAATCCTCTTTCTGCACCATACCCAGGTCTCAAAGCACCCTATGTGCACACTTCAGGATTAACACACAACACAAACTGTACGAGACTCCTTCAAAGCCAATTGTAAAGAAAGTGGCCCAAAATGCCTGCCGGGGACCACTATGACTCCTTGCATTCTCTCACGCCTTTCTTTCCAAACATATCAGTTGTGATTTCAGTGTGTACGTATTAAAATAGGTCTCTGCTACTTCCCCTGCCAACATTTGGGAATCCACTACGCATATGGGCAGAGAGATGCATCTGCAAGGAGCTCCACTAACCTCAATGACATATGTTGAGAAGCACAGTGAAGGCCTAAGGAGCTAACAATCTTTTATTCATGCATCATCTCTTCACCAGAGGGATCCCAGACCATGCTAAAATCCCCCGAGGCTATCTGCTGTGAAGGCAGCAAATGCTGAACATTTTCTTTAAGTGCTGGTCCCATTTACTCATTAACTTCCTTGATAGATATTACAACTTTATAACCTTCCATGACACACTTCCTACTAAAAGATGTTGTTTTTTCCTGTCACACCATCTGTAGACAGCACCGATCTTGTTCCAAAGCAACTGATACCAGAAAAGTCACTGCAAAGACTGATGACACAACGTCCCCAAATTCCATCATCGTGTACATGTAAAATAAAAGGTATATCAGATCAAGTTGCAAATGATATGTTAGTTTAAGATCACAAGGCTTATACTTTCATCTAGCTGTACCATAATGCTATGATTACAACCAGGCAGTCCTGCGCATGTTACTGACAGTCAGAGCCAAGCAGAATTTCTGACAAAGGTCATCTTGGCCTGTTAATACACCCTTAGGAGCAAGTGGGAGGAGTTCATACACCTGCCTTCAAGCTCCGCACCTACACAAGCCAACAAGCGCTTATTTCTCCATTTCATTATCAGAAACCAACACAATAGTACCTGATCATACTACAGAAACTGGATTTTGTTTTTAGCAAGCACACAGACTTTGTAATTCAAAATTTGTAAACAAGGGCATTATCATTTTAATTCATGATGATTTATGAATGGCGAGTGGAGGTAGTACACATGATATGTGCAGCTTTGAAACACAGAGGGATTTTTAGTAGAAGTAGACAGGTGTGTTATGCCCCTATATTTCTAATCAGGCTTGATTACATGCTTCTGTTCTTAAATTCTTTGAAATAACCAACTCCTAAGGCAAAAGTTATCCTGACACACAAACCAAAGATGATTTATTAGTTTTACTCAAGACCGTATTTTGGTGTTTTGTTAGTACCTCAAACTGTGTGAAACGTTTTCTACCTGATATCCAAAGAAGACCATCCACCACATATCCTGCATGGCATGAAAGCGATCGATCAAAGGACTGCACAAAGGTCCACTTGTTCTTCTTGGGGCAGTAGCACTCCACAGTAGGCAGAACTTGGCGCAACTCATTTCTGCCCCCTACCGCATAGAGGTACTCGTCCACTGCTCCCAGCACAAAGTGCTCCCGACAGTTCTTCATCGGAGCTATCTCGGCCCACGAGTTGGTGCGGGGGTCATAGCGGCAGGCAGTTCTCACCGCACAGGTGCGGCCCGTGGAGTGCTCGGCCTCTCCACCAGCTACAAAAAGAAAGTCTCCCATGACAGCCACACAGTGGTGACTTCTCCCTACTGGCATGGGCGCTAGCTCACTCCAGTTTGCAATCCCTGCAATGTGAACGTTTTCTTGATCGACTGGGTTGAAGTATCGCAACTCCTTCACTTTACAGACTTCACGTTTTTTCCCACCAATAATGTAAAGAGTGTCTGACTGGAAGCGAGGTTTTGTCCTTCTGGTTTGCCAAACTGGCTGTGCATAGATGCTTTGGTGGTAAGCCAAGGCCTCGTTAACAAGTGCTGTCGCAGTTTCACTGGCTTGGACAAGAGGATGAGAAAGAGCTACAGTATGCAGAGTATCCACGTCCATAAGGCCAAAGCGGACATACTGGAGAAGCTCATCCATGTACTGGTAGCGGCAGTTGTGCTCCAACCACCTCACGGCCAGCTAGAAGTAGGGGGGAGGAAGGGAAAAACAAAACACCAATTATTCGTATACAATTCTGTCAAAGTTTGGCCTTTTGAAAAACTGTGTTTGTATTTCAAGAACTACGTACCTGCACCAAGAGCGATATAAGTCAGTATGAAAAGTACTCATGAATGCATATGACTCAACACAAAACATACATACTAATACTCCACCTATAATATAACTCAAAGCACTCTATTGCACCATTCCCAATCCCCCACTCCCCCAAAGAATTTCTACATTATCAGATTGCAATACGGCTATGCAATACTCCTGCTGTGCAAACAGTGATGATGTAGGAGAACACAATTCAGGAATCAAGCTGCTAGAGCAGTAGTACAAATGTTGGGACTATGCAATCTTTGGAGACCATGGGTCCACTAGAAAGAAAAGCAAGAACCTGGTTAGATGATTTAAAAAAAAAAAAAAAAAAGTCCTTTCTCTCTTCCACCTTTCATTCTACTTATGACAAAATATAGAAGAATTATACAAAATACATAATAAATCCTTCAATTTTTCTTCCTTCTTCATTTATATTATTCATAAAATGAAGAGAAGTGTCAGGGGTCCCCAGAAATTAAAGGCAAAGAAGAAAGATGCAGAGAAGAGGTTCTGATGGTCTCTGAAATGGCTTCAGCAATTGCAATTGGTATGAATAGTCAAAAATAAATGGAGACTTTAAATTACATAAAGCATACTGAATCCGACCAAGTCTGTAAAGAGGCCAGGAAAGGCCTAAGCCATTTCAGGAAAGCTGTAAGGTATTCTTGCAACTCTCCATTGTTGAAGACACCCTAATTTCCTTAGGGAAACTGACCCCATGCTCAGGTATCCTCTTCAACAGATTTTCCTTTTACTTGTGCCGGAGCTCTAAACCTCTCCACTTGCTTGATCCATTTTCCACCTTAAGGTTTATAACCCTAAACCCAGGAACCACCAGTCCAACACTTGAATTTGATGATCCCACCTGTCCAGGATGAAAAACAGTCTGCTACCTGCCTTGTCTCCTCCATCTTCAATGCATTTGAAGACATGTATTAAAGTTTCCTCTTCTCTGAATGACAAAGTTTGCTACCTTAAACTGGGTAAAATCTTCCTCTTAGGGCTGTAGTAGTAATGAATAGATCAGGAAGATCATTTTGATTATAACAGTCTATGCCATTCTTGTTTGTATATCCCTACATTAGACTGTTAACACACTATGACATTGCTGTTTTATGTTTAAGATTATGACCTACTCCTATTCCCACCCCTTTTTCCGCAGAACTTCCACAGTGTTGTGCTTCCTCTGTCACTATTGAACTCTACTATTTACTTCAGGCCACTGCTCCAATCTGTCAAGATCACTCTCAATCCTAATTTTATTTTAAAAAGCGCTTGAAGACCATTCCACCCTCTGATTGTCTGAAAACATAAAAAAAAATAAAATATTATTACATCAGCCAAGTCATTAAGGAAGACATTGAATAGTTCTGAAAGAGAACAGGCACCTCTACTTGGTACTTCCTGTCATCCTGACAAAGAACTCTTGAGTTTCTAACTATTCATGCAATAAGAAGAGTTTAATCTAAAACTCACTGCCCTGTACTGATGACACGAATGTCACATGAAACAGCTGGAAAGAAAGATTCCTATCTATTAAAAGCTTTCATATAAGCATGGTGTATCAACTTTATTGTTGCTTCTGTACTCTGTCAGAGAGGGGAGATGACAAACTAAAACCACTTTGGTATTAAGATTAATTTGAAGCACTTTTTCTGCACTGTTGTACTCAAACCCTGTGAAACAAAGGATCAATGAAGGGCATCAAAATTGCAACTGTAATTCAGTGAGTTAAATGCTGAATTGAGTTTCAAACTGAGCATTACCTATACATGTTTAGGCTTGTTAGTAAAATGGAGTTAATAAAATATATTAGAAAGTGCTTATGGACTTGAAACCATTGAGGAATATATTCACATGTTCTAAATCCACCAAATCCACACATCTAGTGTCTCCTACTGAGAGGTTATAGGTAACTCCCAACAGCATGTCTTAGGATGTGTGTGCATCATTTGTCCAAGTCTTTGGAGGCACTTAACTTGCATCACTGACTAGATGCTTGAATTTCAAGTGGAACTCAGACTATCTTCATACTGACTGAATGATTTCTGGTTTGCTATATTAAAGAAGAATTCTCAAAACTTACTTTTCCTACCTGTCATCACTCGTGTCCAACAGATTGGTTTCTTTTGCTTAGAGTTCATGACCTTATGCTTATCTAAAACAGTGTTATCACCTGTGCTTTAATGACAGATATTACAGACTCATAAAAGATATACGCTGAGGAAAATAAGGTCCTGGTAACCATAAGGCTTTTAAAGGAAGTTTAACATCAATGCCTGTTAATATCTTAAAACTTCATGCTTCCTCTTTCTTTTCTTCTCACCGCCACCTCTTGCCCCATCCAGCAAATACTACATAAACAGTAAAACAACACTACATACATTCATACTTTTCACTATCTGCATTCATTTGTACATATGGGATGTGTGAAGATCTGCAGCAGAAGGGATGGACATCTCCACTGCAATACATTTTCTCTGCTTCTGCATCAAGTTTGGCAAAAGCAACCTGGTTCACACTGAGTTTGATCTGTACTGAAAGTATTCCTGGAGTAGTTGTAAAAAAAAAAAAAAGCTTCACTGAAATCAGTAATGCTTAACATTTCTCTAAAATCACAAATTTCTAAACCACCATAGCAATGGCATAAAGTGACACAAATATTCTGTTGGCACTCACTGGAGATGTACAATCTATTCCCGGCCTTGAACCAAGACTTTCTCTGTCTTTTCCTACACTATTTCATCCCCAGCCATCTGTCCTGCATCTTTCTCTTCATTTATGAAAACTTTTAAATCTTTCTATATTCAATCTATTGCAATCTCCTTGGGATCCTCTAAATACAGCGCCTAAAGGTATCTTTGGTCTACACTACTTCCGTGCTTCCTTTCTAATGAGCAACTGCAACAGCAGCAGAAGGAATTAGGTCTTCTGCATAGGAGCTACTGGCTGTATCCAGACTTAGCAAGTCTGAGGTTAGTTTGCAGAGGAGCACTGCATTTTACTCTGCTAATTTAGGAGGCAGGGCTCGGAACCCTGGGACATCACTAGATCACCTGAATGGTCTGCAAGCATTTAATAATAAGCAAAGAATCTCCATTGGCTCTTAGCGAAGCCACTAAGATCTGGGAATTGTAATGTGTACAAATTCTCCTGTCCAGATCAATTCAAGCTACTGCTCAACACAATCTGACTACAGTATCCTATGGGAACCATGCCTAATCTTTGGTACTCCAATGCAGAGAAAAGTTGGTGCGAGCTAAAAGCGGTAGTGTTTTTATCTCTCTATCTTGCTATTGAAAACAACGACTGTTACTTGACTTTAAATGCCGTAAGTTCATTTTGGGATACTCCTTAAAAATAGTATGGCTGTACTAAAACTACAAATGCAGATATTTATATGTATATTCACAGAATTCATGACCATTTCCTAGACTATGACAAAGGGCTATGGAACAGGTTCTGCGGCGTTAGGGGCACTCACCAACTGAGCCTTAGACTTACACATTTCTGATACAGCATGCATTGTTATGGTGCTCTCTAGCAGAATGTGATGTCTCACACCTTGGAAGCATGGAAGAAAATTGAGTTATCTGGGAGGTGAACTGCTACTCTAGTCAGCAGATGGTTTGGCAGCTACTGGAAGGCTGGAGGGGGAGAAGTTCAAATGAAAGAAAATTAAGTTCCCAAACAAGTTCTTTGGATGTAGTAGAAATAGTCACTGATGGACTGTAAAACAGTTCTAAATTTCCTTTCGCGTTAAAGGAGGCAAATATAACTCTCATGTACATATGGTGGAAGCAGAAACTTGCAATATATCAGCAAACATCTGTGTATTTATCAATGCAAGTTCCATCACCTTTACTCAGCTTTTGTTTAATCCATACTTAGAAGCCTTCATAGAAACTCCAAAATTTACTCCATTTATGCCCCAATTACAGTACCTATTCATCCTCTCTGGCAGTAGTGATTAGCAACTACAATCAGAATTGGCAAAATAAACCCAAAGCCATTATACACTGCATGACACTGCAAAGAGAGACAAGCAGATGTCTCTAAGGAGATACTGACAGCACTTGAAATCACAACTGTGTTTAAAACACAAACAAGCAAGCAAGGAAAAACAAAGAGACTGTCCATTGTGAGTCCAAATTGTGAGTTTTAAAATATTTGTATCACTGCTAAATAATTTACTAAACTAAGGAAAGACTCCTACTCCTAGTGCCATATAGGCACATTCTGTTTAAACTGCTAGAAGCTTCTTTTCCTATTAATTTTAATGTATGAATGTGTGTGTAAAAGAAGCTACCTATATCAACTTTAATAAATAATATATTTTGCCATATTCATCTTCTGAACTATGTAAATGACAAAAGCAGACCCTCAGAAGGACAGGGATTTTCAAACCAGATTAATTCTCTTATTCTGAAGCCTTAACCCAAAGAGTCTGTCTTCTCCAAGGTTACATTACTTGATTTAGCAATGGAGTACATTCTCAGAACTTCAGGAAAAAAATGGAATATAGGCTGTGGCACAGTTGAAGTGTACGTCTAAATACACCTGCAGGTTGGATTGTGGTTTCATTGTCTGTACAATGGCAGCTTCTGCTTCAGCACAGTGCTTCAACAGCCTGACTCCCAAAGCCTAGGAATGCAGCTCCTCTCTCCCTGCTATTAATGTTGTATGTACCACATATGTACCACAGCTGGAGAAGGTACTCGGGCAGTGGGGGTTAAAGCTGAATTAAGAGTTTCACTCCTGCTGAAGATTGCACTGTAACAGATAGTTATCTGGTCTTTTGGGTCACCAACTATAACTTTGCCCTGCCTGTTCAGCATCTCCCTAGAATCATTCTCACTAACCAGAAAAGCCAAGCC